AGCTTATTAACATGTTCTTAGATACTGTTAACTGTAGGGCGAAAGGGAGATATTACAGTTGAGCGAGGAACACCCCCACAGACTCGACAACAAGCATAACAATAGACAACCACATCAACCACGAAAGGCCTGTGCTTCCACCGATTGTCCGCTTGTCAGCCAATGAAACGCGTCTCTTACTCATGCGCAAAACATGAAAGTATGAGATAGCGCGATACTACACTATTAATAGTGGTGTTCGCCAAAAAAGTAGAAGGAGTTGGGGTTGGGTTGTTGGGTCACACCGGCGGCCTGTTCCTTCAAACGCCCCACATTCAAATTTCATTTCAGAGTACGAAAGGAACGGTTTCGGCATTCTTAAAAGAATGCTACCAGATATAGTATTCCTCGTGTTGTATCCTACGTCGCCCTAGTACTTGATCTGAGAGTGGTTTTGTGTTCTGGGCCCATATTGACCGGTAAACACATTTTCCACCGGGTTTGGTGTTCTTGTTTTTGTGTGCCGTGGATGTAACCTCGTGGTCTTGTTATCTTGTGTCGTTTGAAGACAGGGGGGCATGCGACCAGGGTTCAGATTGAAATACTCCCCCACGTAGTCCATGGATGTAACTGTAAACTGTAACCGTCGGTCTCACCTCCATGAAAGAATCGACTTCCTTCAGTTGTGCGAAGTCTCCCCCTTCTTCTGCGTAGGCGATGATGTCGTCCCGAGTGATGAAGTTCTGTTTTGTTTTTTTTGTATTTGGGTACCCAATCAAACCACAAGCAGACGCAACAGAGTCGTCGCGCGCGGGATCATGAAAGATTCGAGATTGCCAGTACTTCAAAGCAAGTTTCTGCGACATTGGCGGCGGTAACATGACGAGCAAATCCAACGAGGGGTGGTGTAGGGCCACCCGCAAAACTAACACAGCGGGCGGCGGGGAGCCAGAGGGCATCGTGCCACGAGTAGGAGCGATCCCAAAAGCTTGAATACCTTCAGTCAAGTCAGTCTAGTAGGACCATCCTTGATCTCAACAAAACCACTCCATGTAAAGTTATCGTGCTATTTAGTTCAAGACACTCACGGGTCGGTGTGAGCGTTTGCTATTTGGTGATTCCATCAGATGCTGGTTCCAACAAGTGAAATCGAAGTGATTTGAGGTCTCGCGATTGTGAAGCCATCAAATAATAATTCGAAACATGACTCCAGGACAACCCGCGCGGCAATTTGGTTATTTTACAGGTCGGACTTTGAAAAAATGAGGTACAATATTGACTCGACCTTCGGAGGGTTCTATTTTAATCGGTGAGAACAAGACGAAATTACAGCTATAGGCCAAGACTACTAAATATCCAAGTACTACGACAACACTTTTTCGAGGGTACGGACATTATTAGACGGTACTGACTGAGCAGAAAGAAGCCAACAGCGACACCAAAACCAACCTTGCCCCCTCTGTCGAAAAGGCTGAAGAGCAGCTTGAGCACCACGATCTCCTCGTGGGTGAACAAGATCTGGCTGGGAGAGGGAGATTCTCCCATCATGCTGCTGTTTCGAGAGCGGGGAGACGGAGTCATCATCCCCTGCAGATGAGTACATCGAAAAGGTGGGTGGGTGGGTGGGTGGGTGGGTGGGGGAATGGTGTAGTTTTAAGTGGTGGTAATTTTTGACGCGGAGATGCCGTTCCAAAAACTCGTCGTGCTTATCCACATCCGAGTTTCTAAGTAAACTAATGGGACAAGCAGAGATCAGTTTACTTTCGGCATTGGGCGCCGAAGTCAAACCTAGGCGTAGTTAACCCATTGCCAACAGGATCGGTCAAACAGGGCAAGATATCCACAGCAGTCTACATCGTCAAAAGCTCAAAATTATTTACTGTTGCTGATGCTATATTGTGCGGTACCAGAAAACAGACCCGCTGAGTGGATGCCTCTGGCTCGCCCGGCCAAGTTGCGGTGTGTATCGGCCACGCCTTTACTTCTCCTGTGCCTGGAATTCAAACAAACTACTACGCTACGTCAGGAAAGCCGCGGCATCATTCTCTCAAGTTCCAAACCAAAACCTCGATACAGATAGCGTCCGCGTGTAAAAAACGTCAATTTGACGGTCGAGGCTCGATTTCTTGTTTCGTCTCACGACCTTCGAGCATAGGTATTTCATATAGAGATTATAGTGTACCAGTAGTCGATACTTCAAATATATCGTCAAAATCTGAGTCTTCAAGGCTCTTTTCGCGAGCGCTAACTACACTATAGCACTTTGATAGGACACGTCGCAGTGGGCTCCCCTTGCCTCAGGTACATATCGATTAGCTTTACCTCGTTTTCGAAGCTCGCGTCTCGGGATCTCGGCTGAGAGTTGGAGTGGTTGGAACCTACGATCGAGAGGTCTAGTCCCGCGAGGGACACCCCAGCCCCTCCCGCCGCACCTCCTCCCCCTCCCACTACCAGGCTGCCGCCGTTTTCGGCAGCGATGGCTATGTCGTTTTCGGCATCGGTCGGCTCGATGTCCACCTCGACGTCTCCGTCCATCTGGTCACCACATGCGAGAAAAAAAAGAAAAAAAAGGGGTTTGAGACGAAAACCTTGGGGACGTAAAGAGCACTTGCAATCAAATCAGGTGCGGTTAGAGTCGCGATATCGACGTCAGTCGCATCTCATCTCTTCGGTCACACACCAACACACTGTGAGACCGAAAACAAGACAAAGCAGCATGCGTCTAGAGGCTACACAGCGCCCACCCGTTCACATGAAACGAAAAAAGAAAGGGCCAAGGGAGGCGATACACGATTTGTTACGGTACCCTACCGTGGAGAGCGACTTCCTAGGCTGCTGCGAGACTGCGTTGAAGCTTCTCATACCTTTGAAGCCATCGACAGACCGATGTGGACAACTCGTCAACACGTAACACTGTACTAGGAGTCTCTCAACACTCTCTTACTTAGTATATTATATCGTACCCTTCTCTACATGTTATGTCATGTCATGGCGATGTTGATCTCACCTGGGCTATCTCTGTGATGCTGGAGTTGCTGAGCAGGGCAGCCAGTTCTCTCGTAGACTTGTTCTCCGTTACGCGTCCCGCACTGCCGCAACACCAGCAATCGTAAGCAGGCACAAGATGTACAGAAAAGACAAAAAACAGGTCAAAGAATGCACACACTAGAGCGACAGACACAGAGGGGCTATGTACCATCCCATCCGAGAAGGTGACAAGTTACAGTATGCTTTCGGCGCCTTCTGTAATTCTTTTTATTCGTGCCCTCTTGGCGATAGGCCAGGAATACAGTACACAACCCCCCTTACGCCGCACCGATCTCGAAAGGGACATGTATACATTTTTCTCTTCCCGTTCAGCTATTCACGGCTGTATAACCACAGTGGAAAAACATTCCGTAAATCACCTCTCCAATCATGCCGCCTTCGCACAAAAAGAGAAACGAAAGAAGGAATACACAAGGCATCGCAACATCGAAATGCATGGCTGTTGCGTTTGCGACACCGGTTCTTACTGGTTGACTGGACACAGAGGACATCTCGTGCCAGATATAGGGGGTAGGGAAGACAGGGACAGGGACTACCCCACAGGGCAAAGTTCAAAAGAGACACAACAAAAAAACTAACCTCTGGGCGCCGCCAGCGTTGACGTTCATATCCAGCGAGAACTGTTTCCGAACGCCTCGCAACCCCGGGGCAGGGGACGCATCATCATCATCCCCTCCCCCTGCTTCACCTCCCCCTCCCGGAGGTGGTGCAGGCGCAGCCGACTTCTTCTTTGAGCCGCCGCCGCCGCTGCCGTTCCCCAAACCCCCGGGGCCAAAGAGCAGGCCTTCCAAGGTTGTCGGTGAGGAAGTAGCCTCGCCGTTCGAAGGCGGTGGTGTCACCCCCGCGGTTGATGGTGAGGACAAGACCGATGATGACTAATGGAGAGGAGGTCATGAAAGCATCATTGATTTGAAATGCAGGGAGAAATTGAGGCAAGGGGATGCAGGTCAAGTCAAGGCTTGTGGGGAAGGACCCGAAGTGGAGGAAGGTGGAGGTGGGGGGTTTTCTGTTTTTCTTGCAAGGTGAAAAGGGGGATGTCGGTTCTACGGGCGTCGAGGTAGATCTCTCCGCCTCTTTCTCTCTCTCTCTCTCTCTCTCTCTCTCTCTCTCTCTCTCTCTCTCTCTCTCTCTCTCTCTCTCTCTCTCTCTCTCTCTCTCTCTCTCTCTCTCTCTCTCTCTCTCTCTCTCTCTCTCTCTCTCTCTTTCTTTCTCTCTCTTTCTCTCTCTCTCTCTCTCTCTCGGTATGCCATTTCTACGGGCGTCGGGGTAGAGATCTCTCTCTTTCTCTTTCTCTTTCTCTGTCTCTGTCTTTCTTTCTCTTCCTCCCTCTCTCTCTTCCAGCCTCCTTCCCTTTCCTTTTCCCTTTCCCTCTCTCTCTGTCTCTCACCCTGGAGAGGTCCAATTCTCCGGCCTCCTGGCTGCTGATGCGTCTGTTGAGAACCTCCGGATGCATCTCGTTGATACCGTCCCGGGCTTGCGCTTTTCGGTACACCTCGCTGCCATGACGTCACACACGCCATGCCACGCGACGATCATCATATCATCATAGACAATGTGTCAACACCAAAAAAAATCACAAGGACATGAATGGCATGGATGACACCTCGCATCCCGATCGCAAAGCCAAGGCTTGGCAGTATACATATGCACATGTTGTCATAGCCGTCACCGGTGAGTGGGAAAATGGAATAGGAGTAGGAATAGGAGGATGGCCGTCCTACTATATTACAGCTAGCAGTAAAGCATGCAGCGATCGCAGAAGGACAGGCATACACAGGAGAAAGACACGCTAGCCTACAGCAGTAGGACCGTTATGCCGACAACCATGTGGAGGAGGCCCGAAAGTGGCCAGGGATTTCACGTACACTTCGACAGGTAAACGTTACCGGTCATGCCCACAACGCTGAGCCGAGGGGGCATGGAAAGAGGCGGATGGGACTCACTCGAGTTCGAGGGCATCAGCTGGTCAGCGTTCAACTGCAATCAACCGGCGATCGGCCATCGGCAAGAGCACGGACGCGAAACGTGTCAGCACAACATCAACATCAACATCAACTGAACTGCTACGCATACAGTAGTGCACCGTAGGCGACATGACGTAAGATATCACACCCCCTGGACCGATTCTCACAAAGCTCGAGTTCTCCAAGACGAAGAGGATGTGTAAATGTAAATCAAACCAAACGATACCTTTCCGGAACGCTCCCCACGATACCTTTCCAGCGCCACCATTCCCGCCACGACTATCAGGAGTATTAGAGCTTTGAAAACTACCCCAGAGGACTGTGTGATATCTTACGCCACCTTCGGTAGCAAAAGAGCTTCTGGGAGAGAGACAAATAACGCAAATCGACGTTTTCCATCATAAACAAAGAGCAGTTTCGCAACCAACGCCTTTAGAATTGCCACCGCGGGGACAACTCCACAGCATCCCCGCCCGCGTCGAACGGTGTAAGAACGGTGTAAGAAAACTGCGCCGCTGCCACACACCTGATGGGAGCTTTGGTTGCACCGACGCTCCAAGTATTTTGCCTCGTCAGCAGTCCCAGCCCTGGGCTCGAAGATCGCACGTCCATCAGTCCGAGTCCTCTCATGCTCCGTCGGGACAACTGGTGTTCAAGGGTCCGTTCGTTCGTTCGTTCGTTCGTTCGTTCAGCGAGAAGACAAGATCAAGGTTTTCAACTTTCAACCCCAAAGCTGCGTACGGCGATTTGTGCCGACTAGCTGAATCAGGGGCAAAAACACGCCGGTGGGATGGATGGATCGCTGCCACCAATCAATGTCGATCGGATGGATACCGTGACCTGTAGTAGAGACTACTGACTCTACCAGCTTCTGTGGTCGAGCTGGTAGAGTGATGGTGCCTGCGGCGCATCCATCGCGGGGGGGACAGCGCTTCGAACAAAGCTCCACATACTACAGAGTGGGTGCGTTGGCAAAGATCAGCACACACCCGCAGACACTCTCTACGGCACATCCACGATGATGGTCGTGTGGACGGTAGGACGGTATGTAGAGCACGCCTACCTCTAACGACACCAAGCATTTCAACAGCTCGCTCAGCACGTGCGGAGCAACATTTTAGCAACATTTGTTTCTGAACGAAGAAAATCGTAACGCGCCTACAAAATCTCCCTCTCACCGAGCTCATCACCCCAAAGAATGAGGTGTCCGCCTTCGCCTCCCCCTCCCCCTCCCCCTCCTCCTCCTCCCAAGAGTCGGGATCCTCCCCTTCCCGTACATCGTCCTCGTCGCCATCCTTCCCCCCACCGCTCGCAACGACGCCAGCGGAAACCCCACCCCCCGCAGGCGACCCCCCGGAGCTCCTTCTCCTTCGCCGACCCCCCATTACACCCGCCGAGCTCCCACCGCCGCCACCGCCGCTACCCAGGACCGGTGCGGAGATTATCCTAGCCGGACCCCTCCTTACCCTCGGGGCTGAGCTAGGCAGAACCGCACCCAAATCGCCGTCCTCTTCCTCCTGATCCTTGCCAGCAGGCGGTAGTCCTCGTGGAGGGGGGAGTCCCATCACCCCATCCCCTTCGCCTCCCGCCGCAGACGCAGTCTCTGCTGGCGCCGAAGACCTTCGCGCAAGCGCGGGAGCACAGGACGCACCCCCGCCGTCGCCGCCAGCGTCACCACCACCACCACCAGCGCGGTTCTCAGCAGTGTTGTTGTTGTTGTCAATTTCGCTGGACAAGGACATCAAGTTCTCGGCAGCGGCGGCGGCTGCAGCCAGGTCCTCGGTCACCGTCGAGGTATTGGTGCTCGTAGGCTTGACTGCCCGGCCAAGCTCGACGGCCACCTTGAGGAAATCCCGGAACGTCGTGGGCATGTAGGGGCACGTGTTCCCCATGGCCAAGACTTGCATGACGTTCACGTCGCTCTCTTTCACCGGGGCTGGGTGGGGCTCCGCCTCTGTTCCGGAAGGGGGGGGGGGGGGGGGTCGATCGAATGTGGGGCCAGCACGAATGACAGCTGTTGTTAGAGGCATGAGGTCGGGGCAATAGAAAGCACAAACGTAGGAGTTATGCGATTCTCAAGAGAGAATGGGGCCATGGACTTGATTTGATTGGCTTAGCCTCCGCACATGGCACGATGATGCGGTGAAGAGCAGCCGCGAGCTGCTCAAGTTGATATCTACCTGCCACAAGTTGCTGCAATACAACCAGAAGAACAGGCGTGAGTGAGCGACTCACCGAGTAGGTTGACGGTGTAGTACCCTGGCCTCTCGATGTGCAGCACTGCGGCCTTGTTTCGGTAGCGGTCGCAGTAGTTCGGGGCGGAGAAAACCGTGAGCACTGTCGGGTTGAGGTGCCGGCTCGTGTCCGCCAACACCTGCCCCAAGTTGAACCAACCCAACAGACAGCAGTAGTGCCATAACGTAACAAACAAGAGATACCATGCGTGTGGATGAATCACCACGAGGAACGATTTGTGTAAAAACAGGGAGGGATGCGGAATGCGGGCGTTGGGCGTGCACGAGGAGTGCTCCAGGGTGGCGCTATTGTACTGCTATTCTCTAGAGCTAGCTATTATAGCTGTAAGTGTTACCGATAGCATTTCCCTGAGAAACTAGAGTAGGCAGACCTTCTGAAAATGGATCGTTCCCGGAGCAAATCCCAGAAAACGCTGAATATGCCTTGTTCTTTTTATTTTTTTTCAAAACCGCCACTGATAAATGAAAACCGTCGCTCTGTTGCTGCATGCTCTGAGATATACTTGTATACTTGCTCTAAATACTCAATACACGTCCTTCGCGAGACTGCTTACAGAATTGTAGTGAATATTTCGCGCTCTCTGACCTGGTCGTACGAGTTAGCCTCTTCCTCCTCCTCCGACCCCAGCTCTGAATCTTCATCGCTGAAGTCTCCCTCCTCAGCAGCAGCGGCAGCGGCAGCCAAGCCCCACACCGGGCTGTTGTTGATGTTGGAGGTAGCCGTTGTTGTTGTCAGGTGTAGCAAAACCCCCCAAAAAGCACCACAAGATGTGTTGTAGAATGCGCATCACATAGGGAGGGAGGGAGAGTGGATGCGTGCGTGCTGTGCATCTGCATGTCATGCCCATGCGAACACGCCACAGCACGCAGCGGTTGCCAACGCCCCATAACGGATGCCGGATTGCGTGTATCCCTCGATTGTGAGGATCAACACTAAAAAAAAAGTCAGATCCGACGTACTGTACTTCAGGTCGACAAGTACGAGGGGCTTTCCCTCTGGACAACGGGAATTGCCGGCCAAAAAAGCCCTTGCAAAAGTAGCAACAGCAGTGCTGTTAGCTGAGCAGTAGCTTAACACCACAACATCCGAGTGCACCGCACCTAGGGAAGTGTGAGCGGAAGCCTTCCTCCTGCACCTCGTGTGCCCGCACCATGTACATGAGCCGGTTCTCTCGAAGAAAACGCTGAACAGCGTGGTACCCGAACATGTAGCTGCAACCTCGAACCTGTCAGGATACGGCAAGGTCATCCGGATGAGATTCTCCTTTTCTCAAATGCCAAATCGTCGAGACAACACGCAAACATGTCTGTCTCGGGGCGTTCATTAGATACTCGATATTTGCCCCATCTACAAGAATAATCGAAAGACGATAAGGATCCATCAACCTGCACAATGATTTCTACATATATTTATCCTTCACGCGCCTAGAACCTAGACCCTTCAATATTCCAAGCTCGCAGTTTGGTTGGAAACGACAACGCTTTGGGTAGTGACCACGCCCGAAAGCAGCGCATACTTTTTCAGCAGCTGTGTTGTGCGACCAACTCTCGAAAAGCAGTCATGTTACATAGTACATGCCCGTACGACCTTAGACTTACGCACACAATCATGTGTATGACTAGAATGGAAATATCGCCGGCGTCTACGCAGCATAGAACACTCTCAATCAATCCTTACACCAAGATCGAGTCTAACGATTACATTACATCCGACAGACACAATGACTGCTGTTGAGGCCGAAAATGCTCCCCATTTGGACGAAAACACAATCAAACAAGCATCCGAACCTGGTTGGAAATGTAGTCGGTGTCAAGGAAGTGCTGGTATTCTTCGCCGGTGAGCTTGTGGCTGTCGTCCTCGTTGAGTGGGTCAGCCCAGAGCATGTCGCACAGAGGCCCCTCCATCTCTGGCTCGGCGAAACGGTCAATCTCCTCGATGTCCGACAGGTGCCGGATCTGACACACGAAAACAACAAAAAAAAACCGTTAAGTTTGAAACGATGATTAGGCGGGCAATGCATGGCGGTGAACCTAGCGTAGAAATCTACCTCTTCATTGATACGAGAGGCGAATCATCTCCTTGATCTGCCGTTTCTGTTTGAAGTTCGCGGGTATAGTCTACAAGTTACACAGCGTCCCGCTCTTTCCGGCTGCAAGCGTCCGTTGTGGCACGCACTCATCGCCTACGCGCCTGCTTGCTGTGTGAGGCACCTAGAAAACTCACGTAGATCCGTCTATGACCGGCAACGCTCGATCTACGAAGTAAACAAAAACAAAACGGCCAGCCTTGCGGCGATACCATACTTCCATCGCCAACCACGCTCTATCAGACCTACCCAACCACAACAGCAGCAGCAGCAGCAGCAAGGACAACCACAACAACGACGACGCTTGAGCTGCCGCAGCCAGTCAGGCCAACATGACATGAACAATGGGAGCCCCATGTAATGGGTCTAATTTCTGTTGGTTGGCGGATGCCAACCGTTCGCCAGAGTAACACGTGGAAAAACAACTCGACCATGGCCCCGGGTGCTGCATCTCGCTCCAGCAAGAAGCGTTTAATTGTTACCACAACAGCACCGCTACTGTCGTACAGCCAAAAACGGAATCAAAAGGGAGGGGCGTCGCCAACACCAACACACCACAGGATACCCACATCTGGGCTGATTCCCCCGTGGCAAGCGAAGATCCTCCCGATGCTCGTCTCAATGAGGGCACAGATTGGCATCGTCTGCCGCAGTCAAGGCAGCAGAACAAAAACGGAAACGCCAACCAGAACGGAGCGGGGGGGGGTAGACGAGTAGGAGGAACGCTTAGATAACAAACGACGTCCTGAAGAGTTGTAACTACTTGTTCTGCCTTCTGCCTAACATGTCGGCAACCTCCAGCTATTATAGAAGGGTCGAAATCCGTGTGGTCAGGGGGAAGCGCAAGTTCTGACTTCTGCCCAGCATGTAAAAATGTCGGCCATCTCCAGCTACAAAGAGTGTGATTTCTTGCGGTCGTAGGATAAAACGCAAGAGGGTGGATGTGTGTGACATCGAGATACGCGTTCGAGAAAAACAAAGCTACCCAGGTGCAGCCACTGGAAGAAGAGCATCACTGGAAGAAGAAGGACTGACTCACCTGGAATGCGAGTAGGAAGCGATAGTAGACCGTCAAGCCGTACTTCATCTTGCACTCGTCCTTGAACCCGAAGTGGGCCGACACCTATTGCACAACATATACAGCGTACGAGACCTATGGTACAGTACAGTGTGTTGTGTTGGAGTATTGCATTCGAAGCCTTTCACCAGAACACTACTCATGGCAAGAACATCGCTGAGGGCGGAAGAACGGTATGTTCCAATTCAAAGCCTGCTGCCAACGCATGTCAAGATCACACCCTTACAGAATTGTTTTGTGTTTCTTCTCATTGCCATTGTCATCGTCACTTCTGTTCTTGAGTTGGACCCCCAACACTCACCGAGGAGCACTCGTGATTTCCACGAATGAGGAAGACATTCTTGGGATGCCGAAGCTTGAGCGCGAAGAGGTGGAGGATCACCTCGCAAGAGAACTGACCACGATCTGGGAGACAAGAGACACACATCGTAGAGACCATTATTCCGAGAGCAGAAAGAAGGTAAACTTAGCAAGCACACACCGGTGGAACAATAGCCAGAGAGACAGATACTGATACGCCATACGGCCGAAATATCATACTTTGTGCAGACGGTGAAGTTGTTGAAGGCGGTGTGATGCTGTTGCTGCCTGTTGCGATAACGGACACCAGCAAAAATACAATGTGTTGCCACGAAACCCGCATACCATGGTTCTGGTTTGTCCATGGAATAATGTCATACTTTGTGTACGGGATGCTGAATACTAAACACGTTCGGGATGAGACTACGTGACATCGCGGCGGTATACCTCGGTACATGGGAATCCATTCACCTGTCGTAGTCACCACGTTGCAAGTAGGGTGTACTGGGAGTTTCAGGGTATATTTCCAACGTATGTCTACCGGCAAGGTTACACGGGATGGCTATGCGGTATGGCGATACGGGATGGCGGTACGGGATGGGGGCTCACCGACGTAGTCTCCGAGGAAGAGGAGGTTGTGATCTGGTCTCCAGCGCTTGAGGATGTTAAGAAGGTCGAAGTACTGCCCGTGTACGTCTCCCACAACCATCACCTGACCACCACCATGACCACACGGACACGGACAAGCAACAGGATGAGGCATCGCGGCGGTCTCCGAAGAAACGCCATGTCGCCATCTAACGCCAGCTAGATTTCTTGACCGCTTCGATTTTATTTAATGTTGTTGGTTAGCTCGCAGCTATGAGCTGCGTAACCTGGACATCACAGCAGTCCTGTACCGTTGTCTGCACAGGCGTAAGATGCCACACTTTGGCAGGAAACTACAGCTCCAAAATAAAAATAGAACGAACCCACACGTGGGCCTGTTTCTCGTGCCGTTAGTGGTTTGAAACAATTGACGCCGACTACTGTGTTGGACGGCTAGTGAAAGAGCCACGATAAAGTGGTTGGAACGGTTCGTTGGCTAGTTCGGTGGCATGTGAAAACGTAAACGCATAGGCGGTAGTAATGCTCCAACGCTGATGCTACTGGGAGGCGATTGAGGACCGTACCTTCGAAGGCACGTACGTCTACCCTTGGGTCGATGCACCAGGCTGTTATCCTAGCTCCAAGGTCTTTGCCAATTCTTTCGCTTGGCGAAATACACGGCAACCGCACACTCACACACCTCGTCCGCAGTCCTTCCTCATCCAAAACGCAGTCATGCCATCTGTGTTTCCGTCCTTCATACGACCACATAGCGCCAAGACATGCCTCCATATTTCAAGGCCTCACCCTTCTGCGAAACTATTGACGAAAACGCTTGTTCCTCATCAAAACCAAAACTTAAAAACCCAAGAGACCTCTCCTCTCCAACTTTGTGTCTCTACTGCCGGTACAGTGCCGCATCAGAAAGAGTTCCTACCTACAATTGTGTGTGTGTTTTCGTCCTACTTATAATGGCGACAGTCCCCCCATTTTTCGAGGTGAGACGTGTACTACACACACTTTTCAGTGTATTTTTTCGTACAACTACAACCATCCAGGGTCACACAGGAGGGGGGTAAACACCGGGGCTTTCTTCTTTAATATTTGTAGTCTTAGTCTTTGCTGTTCTCACCGGCGCATCTAACGGAACCATGTTGTCCTCCTCCCTGAATATGTTCTTGACCGCTTCGATCAAAGCTACCGCCTCCCCCAGCTCCAGCCGCTCCTGTCGTCTACAGAACCCATACCGCACAGCAGTACAGTACGTGTAGCAATCACGACCACCGCACAGTACATTACAGCGGCAGCAGCAGCAGAGGCAACAATAGCGGCGGCGTAAGTGCAAACTGGCTTGGCACGAACAGAACCACACGCCCTTTTGCTCTCCCTGTTTACTTGCCGGTGTTCTGCTTCAATGAGGAACGGTGCTCTTTTCAGCGGGGAATGGTTCAAAGGAAAACGAGCTAGTTTTCCAACATCTTAGCCAACTAAAGGCAACCAAGCCGCCGCGGCAGCGGCAGCATCGACAAAATCGCAGCTTTGTTGGCCACCAACAAAAGAGTAACCACCTACGCTCACGCCGAATATCACTAGCTCAAAGCGGCGACGCATCCACGTACATACCAGCACAGCACCCTTCGCTACCACTAACCCTAACATTATCTGTTGCTAAGCGTGAACGAGTCGACATGACATTTTTGTGACTTGGGTGTCCGTGACCACACATACACACAACTTTCATATTTGTACGGGTCAGCCTATGGGACAGGACGATAGAGTCCGAAATCAGAGTGCAGGTGATATGTAAGGTATTGAAACTGGCTGATACCGTGCTGCTCCGGACGGGTAGCAGTGATATGAGGACAACAGCGCCAACGTTGAAATAGCGATAAAGCTCCACAGAGTTCTTACACAGCCGCCCGCGAGAGCTCTGCCAGCATACACAACAAGCCCAACCGCATGAGCAGCGATTCAACAACACTCCTCTCAGGGGCCACGAACGACAGACAGCAATAGGTAACGCGAGATACCACCCGCTAGATCGATTTTCAACCAATCATCTGCAGCGGCGGCGCCAAAAATGACGGCGTTTGAACCGTCTTGCCTAGAGCTTTCCGAAAACGCATCGTTTGATTTATGCGTCCTCTTCGTCGTGGAGTAATCGAGCTTTGAAGATCGGTCCAGAGAGTGTGATATCTTACGCCATGCCACCTACGGCATTCGGGCCGTAAATGAACACATTACCTGAATCGTTCGCCGATGGCATCCGGGTCGAAACCAGCCTCTCCCGCACCGGCCACTCCCCCACGATTCACCTCCACCTGCATCATGATATCGAGGTATACGAGGACAAGACGAGAGAAATATACAAAAAGTAGGAAATTGTATGATTGCGTAACACCGCTTATCCTTCCTGGTGCATAGCATGGTGGCAGTGAACCCCATTCTACAGTCTAAAAAAAAAAAAAACGGACTATTTCGAACCATGCAGGATAAAATGGGGGTCCAACATGACCAAGTCAAGAGAACCGCGAAGGTCGCAAACCTTTGGTTGTCAGGAGTATGTGCAACACTGAAGTAACAGGTGGGTTGATCCACGAATGTATTACTTCTCTGACGTGTCGGCGAAGCTCGATCGCCCTACTTTATGTGCAGGATTCTGGATGCAATCACATAGTTCGTGAATGGGTTTCGAGTGAAAATGGTGATGCTGATCGTGCACGCTCAGCGCGAGAGCAGTCACATTGCACAATTATCACCAACTCCACGCCCAACACTACACCCACCCCAACATGATCAAGAACATCATAGCAATAACATCACCACCACCAACAACAACACACAATCACCATAACGGTAACCACAAAGCAAGCCAAAGCATGGTATGGTATGGTATATTACTTCACCTTGTCACTCTTGAGGGCGACCGAGCTGAGCTTGGTGTCCTTGAACTGGTGCACCATTGCCGACACAGAAACCACCGAGTACCTGCAAAATAACGCCCAAGAAACCCACGTCAAACCCTCGGAGAGCATGACAATAAATCAACTTCTACCTACGCGCACCACGTCTTTGCTAGAAAGTCGTCGACCCTTGAATGAACTGACATCATGCCCTCCAAAAACTCTCGAACCCAGTCGAATTATCTTCCACAGCATCTTCCATAGCATCTTCCATAGCATCTTCCATAGCACGCCTAAACTCCCCAACCCCTCACCGGGAAACAAATGAACATGTAACATCGCGCCCTCTTTTAAGGGAATCTATTGAAGGAGGCCGGCCGCCCTGTTTAAGGCCGGTGAAATCGCTTTGCACAGATGCAATATTCAAGTTGTCTCATACTCTGAAAGTGCCGGGTGGGTGTCCGATATAAGGCCGGAATATTGCCTTGGGCCATAGCGGCCTCCAGCACGTCAACAGGGACCGCCCTTGTATTGAATAGTTTTGCTACATCCTCGATGCCTCTACGTGTTGTATTCAAGTCTTACATAGTACTCCTTTCGCCTCTACCGCTGTATCCAACGTAACGAGAATCATATTCATGCGTCTTGAAGAGTCTTGCAGCACTCACCTCTTAGTGTGCATTGGGCACACCGCCACGTTCTCCACAGCCCTATTGTCGCACCCTTCCACCTTACACACTCGCCCCTCCGTCTGCCCGTCCATGTTTTCCTCCTCTTGGTCTTGCCCTTGGGCGAACGTCGGCACGTGCTTCTCCGCCTTGTTGGCGCTCAAGAAAGCCGCGAACTTTGACGCCTTAGGGGCCGGCGAGGGCGGCGGCGACACTGCGGCAGCTTCTTCGACGGTTCCATCTCGTCCCGCATCGCTTCCGAAAGGATGATTCATTCAAACACAGACAGGGTTTGGTTGGGGTAGGGTTATGGCCCTACATAGACCAATTTTCGGCCACTGTAGTCCGAAAAAAACGCTATACTTCAGTCCGAACATTTCTGTCTGAAGTGTACGCTTAGGGTTACGAGGGTTGATACCACGGCCGGTGATACAGAGAAAACGCGAGAGCGTGGAGCAGGTTTTCTATCGCGATTTCTCTTGACATGTGAGGTGCCTCCGTATTCGGCGGGTTGCTGTGCCCTCGCCAACGGTCTTGACTTCTCTTCGGAGTTGGTCGCACGTTTACGTTAGAGGAGCATGGCATGGTGTGATACGGCAGGGGGTACAAGGAGTCGAAGCTCAAATCTTTACGAGCTAGCTCAAATTCCGCTCAAATTTCACATGAAGAGAACGTTTTTGTTTTGGAGATCCGTGGTCCCGGTCATGAGTTGTCGGTGGGTACATATGAATAGTTGTGACGCATCTACCGAAACGGTTTTTTTCACAAGGGCAAGTTCGAAACGTTGACCTTCGTTCTGCGTCACAAGCTCGCTTGCTTTTCTTTTTCTCACCCGAACTCTTCCTCTATACGCTCTAACTCGTCGCCCCCATCCCCCTGGCCCTCTAATGCCGCGGCCTCCACATCGTACACCGGCACCGACTCCACGCTGTCCAAGACGTGTAAAGTAAAGCACTCGGGGCAGCGGACACCCGCCCCCTTCTGCAGCGAGGGAAGGCGGAAAACAACGAGCATTGGTGGGAGGGGTAGGCAGGAACTGGTTCAGTGCGGCATCATGAGCGAGCACACGGTGCTAGGGATTACCCGGTCCTTGCCACAGTAAGACTGTGGCTCAGACTGTGGCTCTCTTGTTGGTGTTCGCAGCGGACCGCAAAAATAGGCAGTGCAGGACAGGCTGCCGCCGGGGTAAATACTGTAAGCAAGCACCGTATGGTAGCTAGTTGCACGTCCAGTACGAAGCGAAGGTGAGGTTGTTGAGCTAAGCTGTCAATCGTCGGGTAAAAAACACGTGCCACGCAGTACTACCACCGGCAGAGTAGTAGAGAGCCCGAGGCTGCATGGATCACAATGCAGCGATCATGCTGTTGTGGTCTCGGGCGACATTCTGTCTCGTTCATGCTTGTGATTTATGAAGTGGACTGATACGATTAGCTTGGCCGGAAGGGGCCTCTTAAAGGTCCGCTCCCCTGATCAGTCTCGTGCAATGCTGCGGAAAAATTCGGTCGTCGTATCTACATGCATGCTGTAGGCGAAAAACACGGCAACCCTTGTGCATACACAGATCCCCGCACAAGTACACGTGCGACGGACATGTTTCTTCGGTTGCGGGACGACAAGATACAGAAACGAAAGACAACATATGAATAGTGGGATAGGAGGAGTAGCCCGTATCATGTGTCATGGAACTACTGTAATTCTAGAGCACTTAGGTTTCCAATGGACACTCTAAGGAAGGAATCTGCAGCTCATCTCCTTGTGGCGCAAGACGGACGGGAGTGACGGTAGTAACAAACTACGAATACTAAAGTAGCACACACCCCTTTGCCGTGCAGAATCTGTGCCAGCATTTTGGCTCCTTTATTTGTATGCTCTTTTACCCTACACACCACACTCACTTCACACACCACCAGCAACATCATGTGCGAGCATGCTTTCATGCTCCTGGGCATCAACTAACACTGGTTCAGACCATGCACCATGCACCGTTCCGGCGTAGACTGGAACGGTCTCCAATCTCCAATACTGACTGCTCTGCTGCTGCGCACGTTGTCTCCAACTCCTAACCTCACCCAACACTACCTGTTATAGAAGTGGTGTTGATGTGAGATCACCGCACCACCGCCGTCCGTGGATAGATAGGCGCTACAAGACAGGTTGCGTGCATGGACCCACGTGCGAAGAGGTGGTACCTATCGCGTTCCGACATGGAGACCACCATTTCCGGCCAGTTGCGAACAAAGCTGTGGTAAGCCCGCGCGGTGCTCGTGTGTACTGCTGTAACGGCACACCCCGTGTGCCTCTTTGCCAACGCGATTGTTCTCAACTTGTTATATTTGTAGATGGGTGTACGCACAAGTCGCCGTCGTCGTGGTCTCACCGTGCCACAGGAATGAGCGCACTTCGTTCAAACCCGCGGCAGAAAATAACTATACCTCTGTCACAGCACCACACAACCCACTCGGCCGGTGGCATCACAGACATCAGGAGAAGGAGAGACGAAGGACCAGCAGCTGGTGACAAACACACACACAAGCCCGTGAGAGGCAAAATGTGAAGGTGCTGAATTTGAAAAAAAAGAGAGGGGCTGTTGACGAGCACTGCTTCATGACGAAATGCTGCCTGCTTCCGAAGCAGGCTTCATTGCAGCATGAACGAGAGTGCAGGCTACAAGCTTGAGGGGCGTGGATGGGAAAGGAGCAAAACACAACAAAAACAAATGCCAGCGGCTTACAGGTTCCTTCGGATCACGATGCTCCGGTTGTGCATCCCAGCATTCGTGCAAGCAAGCTGTGCAAGCAACGTGGCCGCACGGGAGCCTCCTCCCAACCGTCCCCGCCTCTTCCGACGAGAAAGCCGAATAGCAGACCGGGCAGCTATCCATCCTCCTTTCGTCCAGCAAACCCCCTCAGCAGACAGGACAGACAGACACAGAGTCCTGGTCATGACGACCCATATGTTGCCTCCCGACCTGGGGCCACGCAGATTGATATTCCCTCACTCCAACCCCCCGTCGCAAGATCTACGAAGATCTACGGTATACTGCTATACTGGCGGTAGTACCCGGCTCCCGCGCGCTGCTTGTTGTGTGTTTGTCCGCGGCCAGCTGTCCCAGCGGTGATTTCAACCAGGGAGAACCATGGAGGTAAGAGCCAATGTACACCGTGCAAATGTCTACACAACAGGATATGTGTTGAGGGCTCCAGGAACCCAACTCGTCTGCTCTGCCTGCCCGATGAAGATCTGAAAATCTGCGCTCATGATCAGCAAGCAGCTGCGTTTGAATCCACCTACAAGTTGAAGCATGCGGCTGGTGCCGTGTGCAACCTCTGTGCCGCTATATGCACGAAAAGTTGCTTGACTGACACCGCAGGAGGCGCGTAGGATGTCACCTATGGGGAGTGGTGGCAAGGAACGGTTGCAAGACTCAAGGAATTGCGTAGTTCATCGCACGTGGCGCTCTTGTATGGCACCATGCACTCCGGCTGGCTCTTTTTTAACAACAGCAGGAGCCGACGATAGACAGATGACGCGCATCACCTCACATGTCCCCGTGCTCCTATTGCTCCTATGGCGGTAATCCATACGGAACGACACCGGACACGGCGGCCTAGCCCACACGTACGCTTGACCTCCACCCTCGCGTTGTTTTCCGCGTCCTCCCCGTGCTGCAGAACGAGTCCCGAAAGAACGCGACAGACATGCTCGGTGACCTAGTCACCAAACCGTCCGCGGCCGGCACTCCCAGCCGCCACTACAAGCCCACTCCCCCTCCCACTCCTCCAAGCGCTTGCTCACCCTACCGGTCGGTCTCCGAAGGAGGCTCGTCAGAGACATGTTCCCCGCATAGCCTGAGAAAAGGTAACACACATAGTCTAAGTAGTTGTCTCATGTGCCTGTTTGGTCGCGTGAGTGAGTGCGTGGGTGGTGTGTGTAGTTGTGGATGTATTGAAATCAAGACTTGAAACAAACAACATGCTGGCTTGCTCCGAAAAGATCTGCGTACCATTGCACACGTGTCTTTACAGTAGTCGATTGGGCACTTCACCTCCGTATCCGAGGGTACCGTGGGAAGGAGAGATATGTAGAGCATATCATCTATAGGGGCAGCAATATTCGAACCCTCCTCTTTGGCTGATTTTGACCTGTTGCCACGGTCTTGTAACTATTGCCCCAGAACGCCGCACAAATCATCCCACAATGGTCACGAAGGCTCTACCTCGTACTTGTACTGGGCGGGTTTTGCTTGTGCTGACACGGCGGGTTGCTATGGAAGGTGGTCCCGTTCACTACATACCGCCAACACGCGTCTTGTCCCGCACACACGGCAGCCAGGTGCGGCCGAAAACGACATCACAGTCCTGTGAGCACACGACATTCACAACCAAAATTTTTTGTTGCAAAAGGTATCACAGCGCCTACAACAGCAGTGGACGATGTTGTCGAGAAGTTCGGCAGGCCCAGGGCACGGAGCCTGAGCCGGCGTGACCTTTCCCTCCCGCCATTAGAGGAGGAGGCCCCCGAAATAGTGCGCCTGGAAGATCGCCGTAGGACGGTGTCCATGTCGATCACCGAAGGACATCGCTATGACGGCGGTGGCGGCAGCAGGTCTGCCCGTCAGGTGATGCCGCAGTCATGGTGTTGTTGTGGACGCGATGACGCAGGTGGCGTTGTGCTTGATGGTGCCGGTTGGTTTTGCGCTGATGCTTGTCAGGCGGTCAATGCCTGTGGGAAGGGCTTTTGACGGAACACGAGGTCTCTTCGGTACTCGTCGTTCACCCCGGCCGCTTCGATGCCAAAGACCTACAGGATAAGCGGTCCGTGCGTAATCGGTGTCTGCGCAGGACAGCGGAAATATGACGCTCGGCGTGTAGAGTGTTGCTGATTCTTCGCAGCATTGTGAAACCCTTCTTAGTGGTCTCTGTTTCCCACCGTACTGACCCCCTTCATCCAACGCACCGCACGGTATTGTCGATGCTGACTGACTGACGTTGTCAGGCGTCTGCAGTGAACAAGCGGTGCCTGGACTGCAACCTTCCGCCATCATTCGCCATGGAAGGAGAACCGGCAATTTTTTGTCGCGCCCACCAGGTTTGTCTTGCCATCAGGGTGCATGCGCACAATTGATTGTGGTTCTCATTACTTTGGCAACACCTCCACAGCTCGTCCATTCACCGACCAGAGTTTCCAAGCAGACTTCAACCAACGAACACAGTACACCGAAAATTCTGCCGGACGTAGACGCGCTTCTTCGCAGAATCAGAACGAGTTGGTGGAGCACCGACTTTTTCGGGGTACAATATGAATGCCAAGGCCACGTTAGCAGACACTATTGACACGACGCCCAGATCATTTTTTCCCGAGGGTTGTCAACTAAATGCCATCGCTATGCTACCATTCACGATCATGCCCCACTCACTCTTTGATCGTTTCGGGCACGTCAGATGGAGGGCATGGTGAACGTCCTGAGGGAAGGGTGCACCACGCAAGGGTGCTGCAGGACTGCCTCATACGGGTTGCCAGGAGAGGTAATGCCTCGCACTACTGACATACGATGGTACCTGGAGACACTTCACAGATGTAGTGGTGCGGTTTTCAAAGAGTAGCATTAGCCTAGAACAGCTGTGACGTCATGCACGGGGAGGTTACTCGATGCGCCGGCACGCTGAGAGACGGGGGTAGAGAGAGATTTTTGCCTCGTGGTCACGTTGTCATAGAGTAGGGTGCCATTGACTGTAGGCGGATCGCTTTGAAGCATCCCAAGGAAGGAAGCCGTGTTACAACCAGTGTGACTGCAACATGCCGTCGAAAGCAGGGCCGGCTGTGAAAGAACAAATGCGTAGGCGCGCTCGAAACTCATCGTTGCAATTGTCGACAATGGCGTGATGATTCGGTATTGGGAATATCCACCCGCCTCACTCCTCCCGCTGATCCTTTATTGTTGTGCTTTGACTCAGGGCCGACAGCGTTGTTTCTCGCACATGGACAAAGGGATGGTTCACGTGCTGCAACACGATCAACGTTAGCCGCCCAGAAGGATAAGAAGGACAATAAGGATAAGAAGAGCAGCACGAAGAGACGCCTGTCGTCTTGAGAAGGAGAAGGCGGCAGTGCTAACCAACAACACGGCGAGGGGACAGCAGCAGGTGTTTCATTTATGAACATCCTCTTTTGGCCAACGCCCCCCATGTGTCGAGTGTACTAGCATACATGCCTCCTTTGAAGACTCGAAGTGCACCTTTCACCGCCGGTGGCGGAGCAAGCAAGCGCTGTTTCTAGAGCGCTATAATGTGCAGTTTGACTGAAGGAATGTTGGTGTGGCACAACGGTGGTCATCGTTCACTCGTTCTTGAGTTTTATTACTGACTCCGGAACACGAAAGGTCGTACTTCTGTTTGGCTAATACCCGCATGCAGTAAACGATGTGAACGCATGCACAGTATCTTGTTGGGAGAAGGGACGAGGGATCCACGAGTCTATATCTACAAGTATCTTAGCTGCTTGCGCGCGTCTCCGTCCATCGGCCTACTACTCGTTATCGACGTACGGGCAAACAATGTGTTAGGGGGACGGGGAGGGGGTAACTTGTCCAAGTTAGCGGTAGAGAGAGCACAAGTTGGCACGTCGCCACAAAAATTAGCTTCCATGTGGTCGGCGGGTTCCCCTACAGCCATCCGAATGGACACGGCCGGTCGTTGGACACACGTACGTAACGTGTGTGTTGTTGGTAGTATGTTTGCTCCTGCAGCGTGTTTTCAGTGCTGGGCGGCAAGGGAGGGAGGGAGGGTGGGTGTATACATTGATGCGTTGCCGGTGTTCTACAGTTGTAGTGCCCCCTTTTAAGAGTTGCAAGGCGAGCGTTCTACCACATGGACGTGCAGCAGTAGTAGTACCGGTCAATACCGAGGAATACAGCAAGAAATATTTGTCGTTCGTTGTGTGAAGGAGTTAATGGGGTTGGTGGGATGGTTGGTTTGCTGCAATTGGAAGTCCAGCCTGATTGGATGTCGCCGTTGATTGATCGTGTGTTTTATGTACTCGACGATTTTCCCGACTACCGCACTTGATGAACACAGTGACGACGATGATGGTATTTGGTGCGTTCCCTGCGTTCCCATTGATGATGATTCGGTGCACCTTACATGTAATTCTTGTGAGTCACTTCTTGTCTCTTACTCCCATTCTCTTGAGTGAGGTGTTTGTTTACGTGAATGTCCTGTGTTGTACGTATGTATGTGCTTGGCTAGCGTTGTTCGTACAGCCACTCCAACCCATGAAGGGAGGCCAAGTCGCCACACTCACTCCTCCTCCTAGCCACTGCGTCATGAGTCATATGTCATGAGTCGAGAAAAAAATTGACCACACCGTCACAACAATGTGGGCGCATATGACTAAATACTATTTCATTTTGTCATTTTTGTCTATTAGTCTTTGGATGAGTGTAATTTCCACGCGTGTTGGCTATTTTTCTCTCACCTGTGTGTGGGTCGCCCGACCCACATCACCACACCACCACCAAATTTATATGTATTTCTCTACAACTACAATTATACTGCTGCTGTACATGGTCTACATTTACCAACGTACTTCCTCTGCATCCCCCACTACTGCTGCTGTAGTTCATGATTGGACAATGTTTTCTTGCTTCCAGCCTTCTAGGTGGCAGGCCTGATGGGGCGTTCATTTAAGTAAGCAACAGCCACGAGAGAGGTATTGGCGGTGAACTTCACGAGTGCGCAGGTTTCCTCTGAATGCTGCAGCAACAATTGTAGGTTTGATGGATTTGAGCAAGGCGTTTCGATGTGGTTGTGCAGAGGAGAGAGAGGGGAAAACATAGCTTCTTTGGCAGCAACGGCAGGAGGTGCACAGCACGTAACGCAGACACAGAGGCTGCGAAACAGAGGGCCTCAACACTTTCGCGGTGTGTATTGAAGCGAAGGCTGGCCTGGTCCAGCACTTGCACAGGTGAGGTGGCAAGCGACGCGTTGGGGCCTTGTCTGCAGCGCGGAAGCAGACCTCTCACTCCATTTCAGTCTGCTGTGCTTGCGGCGAACATGTGTCTGTAGTCGATGGATCCCGCACTTTCAACTACAGTAGCTCGGCGTGGATTGCAACTCTTGCCTGTCTCTCGCCGTGCTCACGAGTACTTGAGGGGAGCCACCCGCTCTGTGTTAACACCATTCCCTGTCGTGCCATTTTGCCCCGCGTCAACTTGTTCCTTCATTTTACCGTTTCCAAGGTCAAGTACTTCACGAGAGCGTAGCGCTCACGCTGCTGAAGCGGTAGCGGAGCAGTCACCTTGCCAAGCAGCCAAGCAGCATCAGCACCACCATGGGTCGGCGAGGAAGAGCGTCTACTTTAACAGGGACGAAGCGCACGGCATGTCTACTGGTCCTGGCTGTGCTCGCGGGTGTTTTATCGATAGCGTCTTCTTTCGTCGCGTCAAACGCAGCAATCGCATTCGGCAGACAAGGCAGGGATAGCAGCAGCGGTACCAGGGCAGCACCGCCCCAGGGCACAGGTAGCATGTTGTTGGAGGGAGCGCGGGGAAAACTAACAAGGCGACAGCGATCATCTTGCTTCGGTACGGGTGACGGGGAGGGGACATCATCTGCTGTCCCTGCGGCGGGCGGCAAGAACAACGCGCGGGGAGAGAGGGGGGCGGGGGCGGGGGGGGGGATCGCACCAGCGGGACGACAACCATCGTTGTCTTCGCAATCGGCCGCTCCCGCCAGGACGGAGATCCCGACAGACGTTGCTGTCGTAGGAGCGCCCCAGCAGGTAGGCTGTGGTAGGGGTAGGCGATAGATCTAGCAGTGAGAGCGATCGCTGGCATGGACACGAGATTGCTGCATCATGCGCAGGGAAGTCCCATTCCTGGTTTGATTTTCGTGAGATACGCCGACGATTTATCGAAGATGTAGTTATATAAGTACATAGGCATGTGTGGTATTGTGTCATTTTTTGGAATTCGTCGAAACGCAATGAAGTGTCAAGTTGAATGTGAGGTGATTTGGTTGACTCGGAATGTTTAATGTGGGTGCAACAAAGGTCGTGTTATGTACGTACCACCTATTCTGCGACATCCTGCCGTGTACATACGGCAGTCGACTCGCTGCGGTTGTGATCGTTTTACAGCAGAAAAGTGCGAGCGATCATATGCAGCCTAGACTGCAGTAAATTAGCTTGACTTAACTTGCAGAGCTCGATTGCTCCGCAGCCAAGACGGTTCATCAGACCGACCGGTAGGTTGCAAGAAAGTTATCGACGACATCTGTCTTTCGAACGCAAATCTTTTCGACGTTCGTTGGAGGCTTGGATTGTGGAGTACGTGCATGATCCCCCAGCACACACTGTTCATTCGAGCAGCCCTTCTGCCTTCGTGTAGACGATGTCCGTCTCGTCGCTTTAATAATACGAGATGTTGCTGGCGACAGTATACAGCAGGGCCTTGAAGTGCGTGTGAGTGCGCCCCAACGCTGCGAAGTTGAGTTCAATTGTCGCTCTTGTTCGAAAAAAGAGCCGCCAGACAGACACACGTCGACGATAAAGTGTGTTTGGTTCATCCGAAGGGATGCTTCGAACCAAGCCACTTTTACTGGTGCATCGCAGTGGACAGATGATGATGGTCATCTCGTTCATTAGAGCATGATCTGCTGGGCCTTATTTTGTGGAGGTAAATATTGTCAAGGTTTGGTTGCCTGGGGATCGTATCGTATCGGCGGACTGGTAATGCTGCTCCTCCTCTGTTCAGTCATTTTTGGCTGCTATTGTTACCCTTCGTGCTCCGGATGGAGGTATTATAGAGGTACACGTGTGTCGTGTGACTTCTCCCCGTTGTCGGGCTATTCCACCACAACCTGGACTGGTGCGAATCGGTAGTCTCGAACCATCTGCTGTGTCTCAGTCAGCCGCCCTGCTGTGTCTCTCTCAGCTGTCCTGACAACAACCAGTTGCTACAACAAGGATCGATTTTGCTTCACGTGGTCTATCCAAGTTGTCATGTTATTCGCCGCAGTTGTCTACGCAACAGAGCTAAATACGAGTTTAGGTTGTACTTTTATCGGCAAACCACTTGTGCACTCGTCTTTTCTAAACCATGCACGACGTGGACTACGTAAGTGCTCTGCTCCCTCATACCCAGTATGCTATCCTACGGACAGCAACACTTGCAGCCCAGTGCTTGTGCCCTATGTTGAATATCCTATGCATAGCTAGCGCTAACCCTGACCCCATTTCCAGGGGAGAACCCTGAATCATGTCCTAGGTGGTATGCCATGTAGCCGAGGGAGATTTATGTACATCGAGGTCAAGCGGTTCATCACATCATTGAAAGCCAACTCTTATTCTTTCGGACAACGGAAGGAAACGCGATGGAGCGGGTGATACATATCGTGCCACGGTCACACCAGCTAACAGCAGCAGCTGCTACAGGGCGGGCAAGCCCCGACACGCGGCAGCGACACAGCATACTTGAAACAGAACATGTTGATTGTTCACCGACGTTCTTGCGCCTGACGTTGAGCCCTGCGACATTTCACCAACTGGCGTTTGGAATTGTCATTTATGGCGGTGCTCTTGCTACTATGGACACCTTTGTTGTAAAGCCTCTCACGGTGACCACGCTGCTTAGCTTTGCCACCACAACGAACGTTGCCGTTGTCATCATCACAGTCGCTGCTTTTTCCATCATGCATCCAACGATATTGTGGTGTCAGGCGGTACGAAATCCTCCAGCACGCGACTCGGACTCGATGTATCGCTCAATTTGCGACGTTGCGTCGTCGCACGAGGCTGATTTCATTAACATTATGCCGAGATGCTCATGAACACTGCTCTTATCTGCCCTGTACCTACAATATTGCTGATACATTTCTGTTACGATGACGGCATGGCGATATGTTGGTATGATGGTTTTGATGGTATCAGGTGGTGGAAAAGGAGTACTCGATCGAGGCGATCCTTAAGGAGCTCGCTGAGATCCAGAACCAGGGGCCAAAGAACGTCTGCGTGCTGGGGACGCGACACTGCAGTTTCTTGCACCAACAGGTAACTCGAGCTTCTGGTTGCGGTACGGTATCTCGAACGATATATCGAACGCAAATGTTTTTTTTTTTCGTTTTTATTTTCGGTACGGAGTACTTTCACGGTAAACCCCGTACAGCAGTAGTTCACGCAACATTGTATTATTCGGTGCACGAGACGACAATTGGATACAGGATGGTTTTGTGGTACGGGTCAGATCGGTGACCAACATGGATGCCACATCCTGCGCCGCAGTACCGTATCACTTGTCGTGCCAGAATCTTGGAACGGGTTCCTCCACGGTGAGGCGGATGTACGAATCAAGCGGTACGTCTTCGAAACCTCTCACTGAGACGGTTCGAACTCCGTCACTTTTGGCACCGCCATTCTCTCTGACTGTGGATTAACTTTTTGTTTTTTTAAATAGGGTAGGCTGGGTTGTGACCACGGAAAGAAGAGCGTCTGCGTCAGTTAGGCCTGTTGGGATGTGTACGAGACGCTTGAGCAGAGGCCGGAACGTTTTTTCGCGTCAAGACAACAGCAACAACACAACAACATCATTTGTTTTCGGTGACAATTTGTCCGTGCCAATCCGTGACTTCTGGCTGCGGTTACAGATAATCGAGCTGCTGGCGTACGCGTTGGTATTGAGCGGGAACCACGTATTCACTTCGGGGGCCATGGGGACGAATGCCGCCACAATAAGGTACAGTACAGTTTATGGGCATGAGAAAAACGGTTTAGTGTTTTCAAGATCAACGTATCCGCCTCACGCCCTAGTAGATTGCGAAATGACCTCTGTGACAAGGGACGTTGATGTGCCGTTCTTGCCTAATTACTAATTACCGACAACATTCAAGGAGGTCCACGAGCAGCGGTTTGGGTAGGGTATGGGTAAGATCGCCACAAAAAGGTACAGCGGGTCTCAACAGACCGCTTTTCCTTGGTGGAGCGCAATTCTCTTGCCGGGGAGAACGGTTCAAATGCACTGGTCGCACCTAGTTGCTCATTCAATCGCGATTTTGTGGGTGAGTGCTTCGGGTAGCACAAAGAAGCTGTCATTGTTAGCGGTGATGCGCTTTCAAGTTGTGTCTTGGTTAGGGCGTGTGCCATCCAAGTCTTTTGATTTGATCACCTCTTGAGACATCGCGGGTATCATGTGATGGGAGCATGCCACGCACGGACAGCAGCTTTCTCAGGGTTTTTTCTACAAAGTAAACATGTTGGATTGTATAGCATGCAATCGGGGGAAGTTTGCTTAAGGTTAGGGTTAGGGATGGGGTCTGCCCACCCCCTCCCTGTTTTTTTTTCCACAGTATCTTAATTTCTCGGGAAGGCTGCCCCGCACGGAACATTGATTGCATGCAGCGAACTCTTCGCTCTTGATGTCGGACGTTACGTCTTTCCGCCGAAATAATGTTGGCGATTTCTTTTGTCTGGACACGTCCTTCCTTGCCTGCGTTGAAAACGCATCGAAAAACCAGGGGCGCTCTTCGAGCAGAGCGGAAGGAGCTCTTGACGGTGGTGTTGCCACAGAGCTTGGAGAAGCAGAGCGCAGCGTCAAGAGAGCTCATACAGAAGGTACGTTGGTTATGCGGACGTTATCTCGACAGACAGGTATTGTCATCTGTCCCCGGACGCGTTCGGCTGTTGCGTTCTTCTTTGGCCGAGGCGAAGCACCCTTTCTGACAGTCCGATGGATGTTTCTGTCATGCCTCTGGTTGGATTTTAGTTTGCTTTTGGTGTCTAGTGCAACGCTGCCGCTGCTTTGCTTCACCGTGCCTGAAGGTGGCCGTCCTGTCTCTCCACCGTTTGTGTTGCGATGTTATTATCTGCGCCCCTCCCCCCCCCCCGACCCCGTGCCCTCGAACTTAGCTCGGTCCTCTCCGGTGGAATCCCTCGTGTCTTGTTGGGGTGTACTTCTATGGTCTTTATCTCAGAGACACGCATGAAAGCGTCGCTGCCGCGGACGTGCTGCTATGACCTGTTGCTCAACCGTGCATTCCGAAGTTTTTCCTTCCCACTTGTGTTGTCAGCGAAAAACAACAAGATTTCAACCTTTGTGTTTCGCTTCATTTGTAACCGTAACCTCTGTTTTGTCCTTTGGTTTATCTGTCGTTTGCCGCGGGTATGCTCAGGTGACCAACGTCGTGACGAACCCTGTGAACGACCATCTCCCGCTAGACGCGGCCTCCAGGCTGTGTAACTCAGACCTGCTCTCGCGGACGGAGCAGCTCATCTGCTTCGCGTTCCACGACTCCAAGACCATCATAGAGACCACAAAGGAGGCAAGGTCTCTTAACATGATCGTCACGGAGTTGTATCTTGACTGATGGTGTGACGATGTGTGCCATTCCCCCCCGTATGTCGTGAGTTGTTTTAGCTCTCTGGTGCGTTGTGTGCTTCACGGCAGCTTGCCAGCCCCGAGCGATTGCTGGCCGGATAATATTGATGCAACCGGTCATTCATCCTGTTTTGGGCTATAACCTGATGCATCCGGCCGCGTTTTGGATTTCGCTGCCTGCCGTGATTCTCGGAGATGTATGTGATCCTTGCCTTTTCCCACCACGCTCGATAGCTTTATATGGCCACGTCGGCCTGTTGCGGATTACTTTCTAGTCCCACCCTAGCAGCTAACGGTCATCAGGCCCGTTAGTCTATGTCGTGTCGTGTCCACGGCATGATCATCCGTCTAGTGGTAAGTCAGATTAAAGTTTGCTGGTGCTGCTGTTGTTCTGAGCGCTTGCTGTGTACCAGTGCTTTGTGAGAAGTAGTAACCTTTGAGGCGGTTTTGAAGCGACAACAGTTCATGCGAAACGGGTCGTTTCAAGTCGCCACGACCGTCACAGCAGCAGCGATGCGCGAGTATGTGCGGTCTGTTTGAGGTTGTGGTGCCGCAAACGACCGCAGCGCAAAAGCATCTGGCGACGCTCCTGTTGCACTGCTGTATGTACCGGCATGGCACTTGTGTCGATGATGGCTAAGCTTCGCGTTTTGGACTCTACAGCAGCAGTACCATGCACAGTTTTGCAGTGTGCATTAGGGCTGGAGCCGGTGGCAGCCCGCGCCCCTTTTCTTTCGTCGCTGTTTTACGTTTGTTCGGGGAGATGCTGCTGCTACTCTCTCCCTCCTGCCTCAGCCCGTGGTCGGGTCGCGCACGTTTTGGCAGCTTGAGGAGGAATGGACCGAACTTTGCAAAAAAAAAGCGAACCCGAACAGACCCCCGAAACGACTGGTAACGTTTTGCTAGGGAGGGGGGGTTGTAGCCGGTGTAGATAGGGCAATGGTGACACACACCCTGGGAGTCGTTTCGAAGTTGGTCCTACGATTAATCGGGGGCACAGCAGTAGCGGAGTAGGGGTTTGGGAAGTGTGCCTCAAGTCTTTGAGGCCGTAGGCATGGTCATTGGGTCGGGGGTTGTTGTAGATACGATGATATCTTGGTGTGGCAAGGGAGGCTCTGTTTGCGTGGGGGTGTTGCTGTGGTTGGTTGCGCTGAGCGTAGATTCGACGTCTGCGTAACATGGTGTCAAGGATTTTTCTGGGTGAGAGCGCGAGTAAGTCTAGTCGTAGAGACACGCAGAGAGCGAGAGAGGCAGAGAGAGACACTGATGCCTGCAACGTACGTACGTACTGTACTGTGTTCGACTCGACGACCACCATGAAAACAAATTCTCGACAGTCAAGGCAACCAATCCCCCTGTCGAAATGCTAATGCTTTCACGGTTTCGCCCGCAGCGGTGGTTTGTCCGTTTGCACCTGCTACATTGTCGTGGACAACGCTATGAAGGAGTCAAGTCGAACGAACGTCTTCACAGTTGAAGCCTTGCGCGGCCGTGAGTGCATTGCTCACCTCAAAGCTTAGTGGGTCCCTTCGAATTTCTTGCCGTTTCACCGGAAACGCAACGAGGGGTATCGACATATCTTGGGTGGCGTATGATCGGATCGGAGCAGGCCACCAGAGAGGCTGCCCTGAAGCATTGATGGCTCTTCTGCACCACACGCAGCGCAGCCACGCTGCCGTCATTCACGGCTCAACGGTTACTGTTCATAGGTTTTGTTTCATCTCAGACAGACGTCCTTCGTATGCACGCCCCCCATGCAACAACGAAGACAAGACAAAATAAACCAACGAGCAGGTGCGGAAAACTCATGCAAAGGGTCTCTTGTCAAGAAATGGATTCATAGATCAAGAGGGTCGGTGGAAGTGAACTCATCGGTAAAGAGCGGCTCACCCCACCAAGACATTCGTCATTCTTGGAGTCTTGCGCGCAACTCTGTCTCTCTCCCTCCAATCGACCAAACACGCTCATGTCTTGCCTTCAGTAGCACCCACCGGTAAAAACCTAAGCAAGTTTCCTCTCAAAAAAGTTGGCCAATCAGAAAACTGCGGGCACCCCTGTCACGCGCTATTCAGCCCTGTAATTCAGTCTGCCAGGTCTAGACACCAATGTTAACGATTGCCATCGTCTTATGTACCTGGCGCCGAATGCACAGCTTCAAACCACAGCTTCATGGCCACACCTACCGGAATTTCGCCAAGACATGCACAGTCATCTGACTCACTACAGGCCCATTTGCCGAGTCCCACAACGACGAGCGACTGTCTGAATGACTCGCCACAGGATGGCGGGACACCACCATGGTAGTACTGCTTTTGTCTCTACGGGACGGGACGACTTACGGCGCAAGCGTCCTACACTACTACATGAAAACACGAGCCGGGACACAAAAACAAACGTGGAAACAAGAGCGAGCGAGCCGTGCATCGAGACGACAAGACGGTGCCGACAGGCTCAAGGGTCAGACAACAAACCCACACGGTACGGAATACCATCCCGCAAATCCGCACATCGCGACGACAAGACGGTGCCGACAGGGTCGGACAACAACACAGTCAGTGCACCAGGTATAGGATATCAAGCCGGTATCGTACGGCATACCATCCCGCAAACAAGAAGCTGACAAAACGACAAAAAGGTCGCAACTTACCCACTGTCGTAGGATACCTGCATCCGCAGGCAAGCGCGACCAGCGCGGCAGGGGCACCCACCCCCCAGTACCTAAAGCCTTAACCGCTACTACTGCTGTTGCACCAGCCCACATGGCAAAACCGTTGGGGCTCAAAAAAACAAATTGACAGTAGTAACACCATTCGGCATAAAAACAACCAACCAACCCTAACCGCGTCCCTGCGGAATTGATTCAGATTGTTTCGGGGAGGTTCAGCTGGTTATCTAGGGAATGTTGAAGACCTTCTTGAGCTGGACGAGCAGACGCAGGTCGTCCTTCGTCAGCTGGGGCAACACGGAAACGGTGCGTCGACAGCCGCAAGAGCGTGGCAGCGGCGTGGGAGGAGGGGAGGGCGGGGTGACGGCATCAAACAAATGGAAACGAAAACACGGTGTACGACACACTGGGCAGCTAACACGACGCGTCTCGTTCAAGTGAACCTCCAAGGCAAACCTCAACCTTCGGAAAATCCACAACTGACGCGTAACGACGACTTGTACACGCCCGCGGGGGGGGGGGGGTTCGATACAAAAGATATGGCATTACGAACAGGGCCAGAGCAGCAGCAACACGCCTGATAAAAAACCTCAACACACAGCTTGAGGCCCAGAATCAAGGCGCAATGTCGCCAGACATGAAAAGAAAGTGTTGACACAAGAGCCTGTGGGTGGTGGGATCAACGTGAGGTGAAAGGTGAAAGGTAAAAGGTGCTCAGTCACTGGAACACGACGAGCCGCGGAGTCTCGCTCCAGTGGAAGCATGCTTCTCTGGTATGGTTGACCGTGGCATACATAGAGCAGTGTCATGGTATGGCACGGGCCAGTGGGGGCATGCCCCATGTGGTTAACCGTGGAATACAAACAGCAGTATCATGCTCTAAGGCACGGGAGGGATATCCGGGCGCAAAGGTAGGTGCACACAAAAGCAAACACGCTTCACTTTTTCAATCAAAAACCCGAGACCATTTGTTGAAAATAAATCAATACCGTACCGTACATGAACATCCCACCTAACCGATCATACCATCGTACCTGTTCGCGGAAGTGGGCTTTGAGCGCGTTGATGGTTTCCCGGGTGATGCTGCTGTAGAGGCTGCCGGAATCAGCGGAGAACTGTCTGCCGTACGTCAACGTGGATCCCCCGTGGGCGTCGTCCACTCTCACCGCTCCCGATGAACCCTTCCCCATCTTGTCCACCTCGCGGTGGTTCTGGTCAAGAGTGACGAGTGACGATCAACGTGCATGCAGCGGCAGCAGCAGCAGCAGCAGCGGCAGCAGCCGACGTGTCAACACACGCAGCACAACAGGCTGCCCTTCTAACCCCCGCCCCCACGCATTCGGTAGGCGGGGGTTCAGACCGACAGCAGTACCGGCCCTCTCACAGCAGTATCGAGAGAAAAAATGTCAGAAAAAATGAACTAGGTCCGACGTCAACCAGGCTTGACAACAAGCGAGGGAGGCAGTCAAAGGCCTACAGTACGCCGTTCGTGGTGCCGCCACAAACTGTCGGCCATCTGGAAATGATCCAAGACTGGCTGTTGTTTTTTTCCTTGATTGTCTATGCATATGTACGATGCCAAGAATAATGGTTGGGCATCGTCAGCGACGTACATGTAGGGCTATATATGTACTAGTCGCTGACCATGCCCAACCATCATTGTTGGCATCGTACATATGCATATTCTATCAAGGAAAAAAACAACAGCCAGTCTTGGATCATTTCCAGACGGCCGGCAGTTTGTGGCGGCACCACGAATACACAAGTCACGTCTATGCCGTTTGTTTTCAATGTGCATGCATGCATACATGTAACTGCTAGCGACGAAGACAGACAAACCTGTTCGATCGAGGTGACCCTGCCAATCTCCATTCCTCCCATCGCAGGAATGCACAATGGTGTGCCGACCCTAAGGTTGCCCTCTATGACCTCCATGCCCACGATGATGGGATCCTTCATGTTGAACACGTGCTCCTTCATGATCTGATCACGAATAAAAACAAAAAAAGAGAGAGGCCAGGTGGGGGATGGCGCGGATTCGGGACACGGCAACCTGAAAAAAGGATGATGCGTCATGTGGATGGAGGATATGAAACTTCGTCATGGAGCAACACACACACAGCTCTCCTGTTATAGTTCGGTACCGCAAGTGAGAGGGAGGGCTTATAGCCTCAGAATGCTGCTTTGGTGTCGGGCATACGCACTATAATAGCACTGCTGTAGGTTGTCGTGCGTACTGACTGCATTCGGTTGGCGTGCATACGTGTTGGTTGAGAAACAAGCACCACTACCGACGCGCGAACTCGTCCCGCGAGAGTGAGGTTGTGCTCCTGTGCTCCAGCCACGTTTTGTATGTAAACCCGAACTACAAGAGCTAGCCTTGAAGAGACTACCCCCCGTAAACTCCCGCTCCCGTTTCAATTTACTTGCAGGTGTCATGGCTCGACAGCTTCTCGCAGACATGTCATCAAGTCACTACTATCAACTGTTCCACTTAAACTCCCTTTCATCACAGATATGTACCATAATACCGTGTCGTACGTCACCCCACCCCTCACCTTCCCAGCAGCCTCCGCGAGGATATTTAAACTTGCTTATAGTATGTTATTACAGTATGTTGTTGTCGTTTTGTCTTCACACCAACAACCGTTCCGTTCTCTCTCTACCCAGTACCTTCTTCTGTCCGTACTTGTCGAACACTTGACGCGGTCGATTCCCGTTGTCATAGGCTAACTCTATGGTTGAAGTAGGGGGTACGGGGTGGGGATAGGGATACATAGAGAAACGAACCCCCCTCTCTATTTCACTAGATTAAAAAATAGTGTCCTAGGGAAGGCGACCCCACCTCTCAACCACCCCGCCTCACCTTCACGATGCACGGGAACACGGCCAGGTTCTTTGCGTCCTGTCGCCTCTGCTCCATCAGGCGGTCCATGTGCGCCGTGAACTGGTCGAACAGGTGGTAGATGATGTCCGCAGTAAATATCCGCACCCCGTTTTCGTCGGCATACCTGCCACCGAAAGAGGAAGGTAAGGGTAAGGGTAAGGGTAAGGGTAAGAGATGTAGGGCATGTTTTCATCTATTTCGCGCACCACATATATACAGACCTCAAAAAGTGCAAAAGGTATTTGGCTACCGGCTCTTTATTGTTGCAACACGCGTTTGACGAAGTGTAGACAATGCAAATGGTACATGCAGCACGGGTGGGTGGCGTAAGCCGGATGCATTGACGTTTAACGCATACCTTAGCAATCGCCCCCTCCGTGCCACAAGCAGAATTGAACCATTTCAGTCGAACTACACAGTTCTTGCAGCTACTTAGCTCCTTCGTCTTTACATATCCGGCGTGCGCCGTTCTCTCGCTCTACCTGATCGTCCCTTCCAGCCTATCGTGGCCGAAGACAGGTCGGTTATCTAACCTACTCATGATTAGTCATCTCCACCAACCCTTACTATGCATACATAACATACCTGCGAGCGTCGCTGTCGATCTTGACATCGAAGGCCAGGATAGTCGCGTACTCGGGGGTCCCCTGGATGGGAAGGTAAAAGTGGGCACACAGGACATGGCAAGGAGCGAAAAATACGACGACAGAAAAGGAGCCATATAAAACCAAACATGGGAAACACGCAGTAAAACGACACCCCAACGGCGATCGTATTTATCGCCCTTGTTCCTGGATGCCCATGCCCATGTCCAACAACGCCGTACCGTGTGGTGTTTGGTGGAGAGACAGAGACAGGACGATAGATGAAAGGACGGAACCCGGACAGATAAACAAAGCAACAAAGCACAACTGGCGAGAAAAAAAAAATGAATCACTGTACACCAAAAAATAGGCACTGAGACCCCCGCGGAAAAAAAAAAACACGAGCTTGCTTAGTCGCTGAAACATCCTTCTGCAGTACAATAGTCCACGCGTCCAAGCAAGGAAGGCACTTGGTATCATAGAGTAACTGACATTATTACATATCGTAGGAACCAAATTGATCCGTTTCACAACCGATGCCAAGCACCACACGAAACAACCCCATGCAGATAAACCTTCTACAGATATCAACCACCACCAAAGCATCACCCGAAACAGACAGACAGACAAAACCATCTTACCATCAACCACCGCCGAACACCGCACGAAACACTCAGGAGACAGACAGACAGACAGACAAACAGACAAGAGGTACAAGAGGTACAAGACACTTACCTTTTCGTTCATGATGCTCGCCCGCATCACGTCCTTCTTGAAGACGGCCCCGATGCCAACCGCGAACACCGGGATAGGCGGGTCGCACTCCTTCCTCAAGAACTGCATCAAGGCCTCTAGAGCCCCGAGGGTGCTGGCCTGCACCATAACCCCCTTAGGCTCGAGGTCCATCTTCATCAGGTCGGTGAAGTCGCGCATCACCTGGCGGAGTCGAGAGGGACGGGACGGGGGCAGACAGAGAGGAGAGAGAGAGAGAGAGAGAGAGAGAGAGAGAGAGAGAGAGAGAGAGAGAGAGAGAGAGAGAGAGAGAGAGAGAGAGAGAGAGAGAGAGAGAGAGAGAGAGAGAGAGAGAGGATGAGAGGGAGGCGGGAAACAGCAGCAGCACGGCGTGGAGAAAAAAGAGCGGTGGCTGGGCTGTAACGAAGCACAGGGAAAAAAGAAGACAATTCTCGACGCCTAAATATTGTTCTTTTCGACGAGTCCTGCTCCAACGACCCCTTCCTTGCGGAAAAAAGTAAACACAAACACATAAAAAAAAAAGAAACAAGAACCCTGATACATTTATTTAAATAGGCGAACGATTCCTTCCTCGTAGACAAAAAAAAAGACAAGTCCTGATATGTTTAGGTACAGTACATACGGTACAATTGTATGATACCTCACCTCTTCTTTGATGTCCTCCTCATCGTCATCAGGGCCCACCACCATGATGGGCGTGCCAGCAACCGCCTTCTCGATGCCGGTCGCGCAAATCTTCACTCCGATCGCACCCGAGATGGCCTTGTGATGGACGTACTCGCTCTTGATCTATATGTACAGCAGTATACGGTAATTATTTAGTGTTCGTCAAATCGGCAGACAACGAAAATATCAACGGGAATTGTCGAATATACCATTCGTCAAATCGACAAACAACACAAATATGAATGGCACTGTGCATACGACGGCAGAAAACAAAAATACCAATGGTACATACAAAATATATGGACATCGAATTCGGGGGTCGAAAGACTGGAGGGACAGCAGAAATGATACCCCCCGCCCAAAAAGAGTTGGCCGCAAGTGGTCCCTCTGCACAAAAAAAAAGTAACAGATAAAAGCAGCAATACGAGAGAGGGATTTTACAACTATTGTACAATACAACTTTTTGCTGAAACTGGGTGTTGGACAAATCAATCGATACCACGGACGTGTTCCGATTTTCAAAAACAATTGCGGTCTGGAAAGAAAAAGAGTTTGTAGTCTCCCACTATCTTCTTTCCTGATTGTAGTGACGTACTTGGGTGCGACACGCTACATGATCTGCGCATTTGTGTGTGTGTGTGTGGAGGGGTAATGCCACTGGGGGTCCGAGTGTGAGCCCCCCCCGGGAAATGACATGCAGGAGTGCTATTAAGTGCTATTAATACATACTACTCTACGGCGGTTCATGTTATTCAAGTAACGTTTATGTCATCATCGTTTTCATGACCCGCCTACACCTCAGCCAAGACAAAAAAGGCCTACATTGTACAGCTGCTGTCCACCACACGCAGCACAACCGCCAAGAGCAAAAAGAGAGAACAGGCAAAAGTCGACCCAAAGACGGCAAGGCCCAACAACAAAAATTGCAGCTTCTCCATCTTCCCTCACCCTCAGCTCGCGGTTGGGCGGCGGCGTAAGCAACGCCCTGATGTTGGTCACCACCGGCCCGTCTAGGGTGCACACCACGATAGCGTCGCTGTTGCACACCACAATGTCGCCAGAAGAGGCAAGCCAGCAGTAGCGCACGACCAGCCGTAGCCGTGTGATCGATCATGTTATTGACAACGGAAAAAAATAGGAAGAGAAAGGGTGAGTCATGACCTGACTGACGGATGAACACACGGGTGCAAGGGCCGCACAATTCGATCGACGGGAACAAAAAGCGTCATTAACACACGCAAAAACATGAGTATTTTATGCTATCTGGTTTCAGTTGGGGGCTACTTCCCGCTCGAGGCGTTATGTCTCATGGTGCTGCTGCAGCTGTGTGTGTGGCAATTCTCAGTAGCAGCAATGAGCACCATGGTTCAGGGAGGCTCCATGACCCAAACTTATTCATCGTTCATGGAGACGTACTGAGCCAGCCAAACATATAGGGTAGACGACGGAGACGACAAGCTCAAATGTGATTGCGGCTTCGAATGCGAAGACCGTGTTCATGCAGTCGCGGAATGTCGGCTGTACAATAAGGAGAGGGAAGTGTACATGACTGAGCTGGGAAAAATACAAGGGACGTACAGGGAGATGTTTGAGGCATGGAATAGAGAGGAGAGGACGGTAGCTGTACTGGGGAGTAGGAAGTGGTTTGAAAAGGCGGGAAGGGATATCGTCAGGATAGACAGACTAGGGACGACATATTTGAGCCACCTATGGCAAAGTAGGAAGGAACGATTGGCCATCGGTGATCGGTCCTGTGGGAACAATGCTCCGTCCACTCGAGGACGCGTGGTCAATGGTCTAACCGCTAAGGCATGCAAAGCAAAAGAGTACGCCCCCCCCCCCCCAAAAAAAAAAAGCAAAGGGTGTAACACAACTAAATTCCGTGTAATTCGTTCATCCACTCACATGCCGCCGTCCGCCCAACCCGAACAATTACAGGACCTCGCCTACAAATCATTGTAGACACGACACAACGCCACAGCAAAGACAGGCTACAAAACGATTCTTCGCGGGTGGTCGCTCCAGCCAGCGAGCGAATCAAATCCCAACCACCAACACAACGACCATTGTAAACAAGATGCCCGGCGGGGGAGGTACAAGCAGGTTTCACCGTGATGATGTGGGGTGCCCCTCCAAGTCCCCCCCCGAAAGCTCCACAGCCACCCGCTCTCGTCCTGGAAACGGCAACGGCGGGTCAAGACATAAACACACACACACACACACACACACACACACACACACCCACACACACACCTCCCCATGGAGGAAGACCGAACAAGACGGACAATGCTTTCCAGATAATACGTGCACAACATTTCACCCCCAAGTTTTGCCCCCCCACCCACCCACCCCCCAAAAAAAAAACAAGCAAAGGGTGTAACACAGCTTCGTTGCAGCGTCGAAACAAGTCAGTTGGCCACGACAAGTGGTACCGCGTATATGCATCGGACAACCTTCCCCGTAAAGACGAACGAGGGGGAAAAAACACAAAACAACAACGCCTGTACTAGGCACCCGAACAGACAACGTCCTTCCACACCGAAAAAGGTTGCCATCTCCATTCGCAGTTTGCTCCACAAGTGATCAAAATATACCTTTTCGCACAGACGCATGTGATCCGGGGACACCGCAACACCACACCTGCATCATACATGTACGTCAACCCCCCCCCCCCCCACACACACACCCGCGGTGTTTGCCATCGGGGTTTGGTTTTCGTCCCTTGGCAACGACGTTGTAAAACAAGCCCCCCCCTCGGTGTTTGCCATCGGGATTGGGTTTTCGTCGCTTGGCAACGACGTTGTAAAAGAAGTCAATTCACTTCGTGAACTCGGCAACCAGGTTACCGGTTGTTTTTTTTTACCTCGGTTTTTTTTTTGGCGGTAACCATAATGGTGGTCGAGTAGATCATGTTGTGCGGGGTGGAGAAACCTCACTCCGCGCAAGGGGGATGATCGCACCACGTTGTGTTAAAATGGTCAAGCATCCTCGAGGCAGCTACACAGTGCTTATAACTGTCTCTGGAAGTGAACGCACCAGAAAATAAATTAAGTCATACGCAGCTGTCATCCGTACGCAAGGAAGTAAGCACAAGATGCCGAACACCCTTAGCAGGATGCAGCTCACCCTTCATGCGACTCGCCGAATACCTCACGGTGCTTCGCGCTTGTTGATGTGAGAGCCTGGTCCGGTGAGAACCCGGCGTGCTCCGTCCCGGCTTTGTAGGGATGCGAGGTCAATGGTCTAACGACTACGGCATGCACGACTATGAGTACACCCCCCACACACACACGGCAGCAGCATCATCTCCAGTAGTAAGAGGAAACACTACTAGAGCCGGAGAGCAGAGGCAGGCACACCGCACAGCACTTGTGGTGGTCCAAACCGACGGGTCACACACCCAAACACACGACACCAAAAAACAAGAAACAGCAGACGAGAGAGACGTAGCCCACGGGCGTCAACGTCTTGTCCGCGGAGACGGTGCCACGGCGGAACACGCACACACGCGGACCCTGGGGTTGCCAAACCCGCTCCCCTTCCGACACTCACACAAACACAAACACAGGACGCGGATATCCAGGACGGCGAGTGTGGGAATGACACTCCACAGACAAATAGAACCCGCAAGCAGAGTCACACACCACACCGCGTTCTTCTTCATGCGTCGTTGCTGTCACCCGCGCACACCAAGAAACCGAGCGGGGGATGTGAACACACAACGCTTTTCTATTCCTGCTCCTTCTCTCCGACAGACTGCGATGGACAAGGTGGCGTCGTCCACGCGAGTCGTTCGGCGAAAGGACGGGGATCACGCCCACCCGGGAAATTTGCCCGTCCGTTCCTCCGGCTTCAAGCCGCGTCTACTTGCGGCCAAGGCACACCATAGAGGACTCATCGAAGTCCTCGTCAGACCCCGACCCGGCAACACGATGTCCCACTCTGCTGCTGTTGCCTCTCGCCCTGCCTACAGCGCGGCTTTTGCCGCCCCTGAGGCTGGTGCTGAACTTGCTGGGCGTCGTGGACGCAGGCTTACGCTCCATGCGCTTCGAGACCGGGTTTGGGGACGAGACGTTCTTCCCGGGCTGGCCTGTCTGCCCACGAGCGGGAGGATGAGGGGACGAGATTGCCCCGACGCCAGGGTCGCTCTGAGTCTGAGTCCGTCCACGAGAAACGACGTTTGGCGACGATCCCACACGCAGACCCTGTGTGCTCGGCGTTCCTTGCCGCTGCTGCCGTTGCTGCTGCTGCGGCTGTTGCTGCTGCTGTCTCGTGTGTCCGAGCCACGCAGTCTCGGAGTAGGTCCGGCCTAGGGTGGGTATCAGGTCATCCCCATCCACCGACCCCCCGCCCGCCTGCCCACGGGCACCCACCAGCGCTGCTCGGCTCGTCGAACGCAACAGGGGGGCGATGTTGTGGTCGTCGACAACACCTGGCGAGGAGGGGATGTCGTTGCCGGGGCCTCTGCCTTAAACCGACCTCGGGTGCCTGCCCTGGGCTGCGTTGACCCGACAGGTTCTTGAAGCGGGGCCCTTCGCCGGCCCCTCCCTCTCGACGGGCGCCTTCGCCGCTGTCTCGCCGCCGCCGGCTGTTGCTGTCTCGCGGGCTGCTGCTGCTGCTGTCTCGCGGCCGCCGGCTGTTGCACGTACCCGCTCTTCGCCCTGACCCCGCTGGCGAGCGAACGAACGAATTGAAATGGACGGGTGCGCGGGGGATACATTCTTAAATGGCGACACCTCTAGGCGGATACACCACAGAAGTTGACGGCCAACCAACAAGAACGATGGGCAACAAAAAAAAAAAAAAACTTGCTTATGCACCCTCCTCCTCCTTCTCACCCTCGGCCGTCGTGCTCGACGTGGGCGGACACGAAGTGTCGTCGGAGTGACCAGTGAACAGGGACCTCCTGTCGCCCGCCCTGTGCGTCTTCAGCATCCAGGGGTCGTGAACCACCTGTCCGCATAGGTCGTCACCCAGAACCTGTCGGACACCATAGACACACGCCGGTTCGCGGGTGAAGTAAGTAACAGCGGCTGCTGGTTTCCCCCCCACCTCTCGAGGGTAAGAGTCGTCGTTTCATTCGTCCTTTATCTTCGCCAATCAAGAGGGTGGGGGGAGAAATTTCTGCGTACTTTTCGAGTGAATCTTTAAGTGAAAAAAGGATAATAATCTCTAGGTACGTACGGCATCGGCGACTTGCCCGTGCTCGTAAAAGTAGCAAGTATTTTATTTTGACCCGAGATGCCTCCTGGGTGTATGCATACATAAAAACCAAGCTGTTGTGGCAAAAAGGGTTGATTCAGAGGGCACAGCTACAGTAGCTTTGGATGGATTTCTTACTCGCCAGACCACCTTTCGAGCTGAAAACTGCTAAATAGGACATGGCATCCTACCACTGCTCTCTATCCGTGGAGCGTGGGGGCAGCGAGTGGTGTGCTGAAAAAACGACAAGGGGCACAAGCAGCGGCAGCAGCGGCAGAATAAGTCCGTTGCGAAGTTCGGGTCTCTCTACTGGCTCTTCCCTTGTCTTCCCCGAAGGTTTTTTCGACTTCGAGCCACCGTTGATCGAAGCAGCACACGCATGCCCACGCTCCACCGAATAATGGAATGGACCGAACACTCTAACGGGCTGGAGCTTGAAAGGTGTTTTGGGAAGCGCGTGTGCTTTGCCGGGCCCCAACAACCCTCGCTTCAAAATAATTTTTATTTCTTGTTTCGGCGTGCAATCTGAATGCTTGCGTGCTGGTCTACAGGTACGGTGCACGGGTTTCATTTTTTTTCCTACGTATGCATACCATCTATTCAATTCAGTTCTGCCACGCGGGAAACATTGCGGGCCGCTGAGCGCCCAGACTACAGCAGTACAGCAGTAGTACATGCCCGCAAAACGGCGGTAGGCGAGCAGCAGCAGAGGGCTGCAAAGACAAACACAGCGTCCAGACCGACGAGCCTCGGGCCTCGGACGCGCGAATACAGCGCCAGAGGGGATGGGGTGTGCGCGTGCAATGCCGGGGCCTAACAACGCTTCTCATATATATATTATTTTATTTTCAGACCGTTCTATCTTTTTCGGCGGCGTGAAATCTGTTTCCCAGCAGCGGGCAGAACTGAATTGAATACGCATACATACTTGTAGATGAATTGAATACAGGGAGAAAAAGAAACGAAATCGTGCACCCGCACCCTGTAGACTACATGTAATACGCATGTATAGCGTCTCACCGAACACAACACTCGCGCACGACACGACCAGCGGAAAAAAATAAAGGATTGCTTGCGTGCGTGCGCTTTGCTTGCGTGCGTGCTCGCCCTTTTCTTCGAGTATATGATGGCATTCAAGTATACGGATCACGGAACAAGCAGCATGTCCACGCATCAACCACCATCGGCGAGCGCCGCAACAACAAGGGTCTCTTGGTCATCACGTATGGACGGGCTGAGAGAAGACACTACATACAATACTGCTGTTTGCTGTTGCTACGATATGGAGTAGACTACATGCGGGTTTTCAAAACAAAAAAAACATACAATACTGCTGCTGCTGTATGTACAAACAAAACAAGCAGGCCTTTCTGTGAGACTATGTGCACTTTCGAAAAAAACAAGGATACATGCATGACACTATGCACTAGATTTAGACATCGCGCTCTCACTCCACGATCGCAATCTACCGCCTTACTGCATCAGCGAGAACTCACATCGGCTGTGTAGTAGATGCCGCTGTCCAAAAGGTAGAGAGCGTCGTCGCGTTCGATGTCGAGGGTCGCCATCGACCCCTCCACGAGCTCGTCGTTGCCATGCTCCAGCTCAGCTTCAAAGGCCGCGAGTTCAGCCAGCTCAGCAGCCAGCTCACCCTCGGCGTCGCCCTCCTCGCCCCCCCCCTCCTCGTCCTCGTCTTCTTCCTCCGCTTCGCCGCCGTACCCCTGGCTCATCTTGTAGAAAGCCTCGTTCCTCTCATGGATCTCGCTCATCGGGATACACTGCTCGTCGTCGTCGTGCGGCGGATTCGATGCTGCTGGGCCTGCCGGCGCCGGCGCCGGCGGCGACGGCGCCGACATCTTGGATTCCTCCATCTACTACGAACTACGACTGCTGTATCTCACTAGGAGAGAAGACCGCGGGCGGCCGGTAAGCCGCGGCGGTCACCTCACCGTGCCTATCTCTTGATCTCTTGTGTTTGTGATTTGTGAGAGATGTGTGTCTGGTGTGTGTACAGCGAGCGGTGGTCATGTTTTTGTTCTGGTCCGCTCAAATAAATATAAAACGAAGAAAAAAATGTAGAGGGGTTTCCAGCAAGGGGGCTACTTCCCGCCCTATCCTAGGCTGCTGTTAGAAACGTATTTGTGTGTGTCGAGCCGCAATCATGACCGCGGTTCAGACAAGCGTTAGAGCTTACCGTACATACGTCCGTGTAGCTCAATGGATAGGGCGTTCGCCTTCGAAGCGAAAGATTCCGGGTTCGAGCCCCGGCATGGATTTTGCTTTTAATTTCCTCGAAAAAATTGTTCCATTTTGGCGATTAAGTATGACGTCATCAACCTCCGCATCTTCATTCTAAACATCAATCGAAAACACCTCACCTCGTTCCTCTCTGATACTTTAAAAAAGCACGCCCTGCTGAAGCAGCTGCTACATGGCGATGGGACCCTTACGGCCAAGAAACGGCGTCATAGCAGCGCTAGCCGGCTTGGACGAGTGCCCGATGATGCCAACACACCACTATGTATACAGATACAGATTCCCTTTGCCAACTCTCTGTTACAATAGTAAAATCCAAGTTGCCGCTGCCTGCCAGGCGGAGTTTAGAGGGTGGCGTTTCGACCAGGGATGCTCCGCCAGCGTCCCCGGAAATAAACGCCTCCCATTTTCTTTTTCATTTTTGCCTGGGGGATTTCGCCCCCTTCTTGGCCTGGTCCGACAGCAGTAGTGACGACCCCCCCCCCCCCATGGCTCACTCACACTACACTCACCCCTACTCCTACTCTTCGTGGAACTTATGCATACCGCGGTCGAAAAGTCAAAAATGACACCAACACCAATGACAAGAGACTTGCTCTTGCTGATTGGCTGATTGGCTCACTCACCCTTCCTTGAGCCTGCCGTTGACGATGATGACATCGATCGTCATGCCCAGCCCGTCGATAGCCTTGACCTCTAGGACCGTGCACTCGAGAAGGTCCGGCATGAACATGATCTTCTCCGTCAGCCGCTCCTGTGGTCGTATCGTAACAACGCAACAACACCAGAGGAAAAAAAAAAAAAAAACAGCTTTGAGCCCTGGTGTCCCCTGGTTATGTGCGGGCGAAGCGATGAGAAAGAGTCCGAAAAGAAAAACGTCGACGAACGAAGTACTTATAGTTAGACAGCTAATCAAGGCATTTGAAGCTGTAAGAGGTACTGTTAGAGTCAAGGGGGAACGAGACATCGGCAACAAGTAGAGTAGAGCAGAGAACCCGTCAAAATCATATTCAATATCAAATGATTCAAGATGCGAAACGCCAACATTCGCCACTACAACTACAGTATGTCGCCAACCTGCAGCAACACCAACGCACGACCTGGTAGCGGCCGTACCCCAAGAATAAGGCTGCCTAGGATCACATACAGAATCAACGCCAGCGATTCCAGAAATGCGTTTTGTAGCGCTTTACAGGTTCGACCTAACATCCTCACATGGTGGTTACATCTGGTTCAACGGCAGGCGCACAGCCGGGCAGAGACGAAAAAAAAAAATGCAAACGTCGCGACAAAAACAAGAGAGAAGGAAAATCGAGAACAATAATAAATAAAAAAAGAATGACAGGAGTATTCTAGACGGCCATGCCCGTAAAATGAAGTGCGCAGCAAACCTGCGTTAGCCTGACGAGCCACAAGAGCAGGTCCGGAATGCCCTCCCCAGTAATGGCCGAAGTCGGCACCATAGACACCGTGTGGGTAGGGTCGTCGTTCTTCCAGTACAGCTCCGTATTGAGGCCCTTCTCCATTCACCTCTGCGGGCCCCCCAGCACACAACACAACAGAGGAAAGACAAAAAAAAAAAAATTGTCAGTCTTTCCGTCGATTCAATCGTCCATCGAGTTCTGCCCAAGAAGAGCAATCCGTGATGATGATGGTATCAGTAGGCTCTGCCGTTCAGATGCTAACTGGTACCAAGTATGTGTTGCTCCCCCCCCGCGTCTTTTTTTGCGCAAGGGGCCCCTTCACCCAATTTTTGAAAAAAATCCGCTTCCTACATCCCCCCCCAAATCCCGAAAAAACTCAACCCCGTTGACAAAAAAGGGGTGTTTTAGCTTCAGGGCCTTAATCCAGTGGTGGTAGAGAGAGGGTTTTCCCAAAAACATCCCCCCCCCCTTTTTGCATCCTTTCCCCCCCCCCCCCCCCCCAAACAGAAAGAGATAGGCCAACCACCAACAGAACAAACAATTACTCCGATACTGTACCACATGTAGGGATATATATCGTGGTCATGTGGTACGTACAATTCTCATGATGATCGCGGGGATCGCGATCTCACCTACTAATACATCTAACACCTACGTCGATTGTTGGAACGGGTTTGCTAGGTCCATCAAAACAGGGGCGCACCTGGATGAACAAAACAACCTCAAGACGGGGAATGCTTTAACAATAATATTTTCTTATTTACTTGTATTCTTCAAAATTTGGTCGCGGGGAAGGCACACAAAAACTAGATAATTGGAATCTGCTGCGTCGAGAATAAGGAGAACAAATCACAAAAGACGTTGCCTACCTATGTTATCTACGTATCTAACAGTCAATAGTCAACAGCAGGCACTCACCGGTCCTGATGCGCATGGCTCGGTCTTCAAACTCGGCCGTGGTGCCCGACTCCTGTTTGTCCAGCGACAGCCGGGCAGGCCCATCCGGGGTGCTCTTCCACGCGTAGCATCGGTCGATCTGATGCCAAAAAAAAAGACAGATACGCGAAGAAAAAAAAAAAGACACGAGCAACGGTAAAAAAAGAAAAAAAATGGAAAAACAAGGGAAAACGAAAAAAATGAATACAGTATAAATGTCGATGCAGATCACCGGCGATAAACTGTGAGTATGCATATGAGGATGCGATGGAAGCACATTCGTCGGCGTGCAGGAGAACTCTCAATAGATTCCTCGAGAACAATATTCCACAACAAAACAAAACAAAACGAAATCACAGGACAAATCAATGGCTAAACGGTACTTCAATAGAAAACAACTGCCATAGGCGTCTCATTGATGCCGCCAACAAGATTTGCCACACAAAAAATACAACATAAATCGAAGAAAACACGACAGGAGTTCGTTCGCAGGTGAAGGTAAGTATTGTATTGCATTGCATTGTATTGCATTGTATTGTGTTGGTGCAATGTAGAGTAGTGGGTCTATCCCGCATCGAACGAACTAAATGAGAGGTACCCTGTCATCACGGTCATCACGGTCATCACGGTCATCACGGAAGGAAGGAAGGAAGGAAGGAAGGCGCCAGTCAGTTCTACCACCGATACGGATGTTGGAAGGTAGCACTGAGCAAAGACCGGAATGGTGTGTAATATCAAGGCAACACCAACGCCACCAGCACCAACACCAACATAGCAGCGACAGCACCAACAATACCACCAACACCACTAATAACAACAACACCAGCAGCAGCAGCAGCAGCAGCAGCAGTAGTAGTAAACACCACCACCACCACCACCACCAACAACAACAACAAACAACAACAGCAGTATCGAGTGAGCCAACCGAACCATCCCCACCTTGTTGAGCGCGATCACGAACGGCGTGCGCTTGGACCTCAAGAGGTTGAGGCTCTCGATGGTCTGTGGCTCCAGGCCGTGCATCAGGTCGACCACAAGGATGGCGATGTCGCAGAGCGAGCTGCCCCTCGATCGGAGGTTCGTGAAGGACTCGTGACCAGGCGTGTCGATGATGAGCATCCCGGGAAGCTTCACGTCCACTTTCATGGTTTGGTTCAATTCCTCCACCTTTCGTTGGGTAATTTCCATGGTTTTTTTCGTTTGTTGTTTTTGTAGGTGGGGTGAGATGGACTAAGTGCGGGACCATCGAAAGCGTTACCGACGAGATACGTTGAAAGCGCACACTTGCTGTCCCGATACTATTATACTATTATACTATTATACTATTATTCTACGGCTCTGAGTATACACAACCTCGCATGGAAGGACAAGGTTTCCGAACACGTGCACGGAGTGTTTCGCTCCAAGCTACACTCGGGAGAGAGGCGTGCATCAAGGCAGCACGCCTGCAGGGCGGGTGCCTCCCACAAAAACCAAGCAGCGTGAAGCACATTATTTTCTTGTGCACCCAATCAATGCAATTCATGGCAACGATGATGTGTGAGTGTCACAAAGTACTCGGAAGGCATTTTACCTTTTCGCAAAGAGTCTCTTTCGAGAAGAAGGTGGCGCCGATCTGTTGGGTAATCCCGCCCGCCTCTCCCTCTTGCACACTGGTTTGTCGGATCTTGTCCAGCAGCTTCGTCTTGCCTGATTGGTCGGCCAACCATTGAAATTCATGTTGCATGTACGTGTCATCAGATCATTGCATTAGACATCATCTCATAGCTTCACATCAAACTGCATCACGTCAGGTCCCAGCATGACTCTCACTACGTACATGGCGTGAGTCGAAATCGACAAACGTCTAGGCTTTCCTATCTACCTATGCGCACGTCGTATTGAAACAGAACAAGACTCTTCAGGTACAGCTGCGGATAAGCGTGCGCGCAGAGTAATTCGAAAGTAAATTGGATTGGTTGTGTTGAAAACAGGTTCTACCTTGTGACAAACAACACAAGAGACAAGACATTGTAGGAAACACTAAGGCGGTGGCGTACCATTGGTTTCATCTCTCTTAGTCTTAAGTGCTGGACTTCTCTTGAAATACCTCCTCTGTCCTCCTTCAAACCCTGCTGCTGCTGCTGCTGCTGCTGCTTCCCGACGTATTGTTGTACTAGAACGCGTATGTATCTTTCCTTTAATTGGTTAAAAAAACAAAGACAACCTCAAAAGCCCGGTGCTGTGCCTACCAAAGCCTGCTGCCACCTGTGCCCACAAGACAAGTACCTGTATCGACGTGCCCCATGATGCAAACGATGGGTGAGCGCAACGAGTCGGCGTTGCGAGCCTCTCTTGCGGACTTTTCTCTCTCCAATCGTTTTCGGCGCGCCTCGTCCTGGGAGATAAAGACAGAAAAAAAACGCGGTCAACGGCTATAAAAAAAAAGAAACGTGCCTTCGACGGCTATGCACACAACGCGTTCAGCGGGAAAACAACGCTCGGTCTGCCCTCAACGACTACACAACAACAGTAGACGCGTTCCACGGCAACGACAAGACACGACACTAATCTCTCAAACGGCAGCGCAACAACAGCAGCACACAGCAAGCATCTCGTGGGGTCCGTCTACCCTGCAGCGGCCGATTCGTTTTCAGCATCTTAACCTATCTCCCACAGCAAGCTTGCGATCCCGTAACCCACACCTTGTGGCCGAGAATAACCAACAATTGCCGTTCAACACAGCAGCAACCATCATAAAATTAGAGGGATAGACTAACGCCTTGAGCTGGCCTCATCGTTTGATTGGCCAACTCAATCCATATCTCAGGCCGACTATTGAGTATTGAATGTTGAATACCTTGAGCATCTCTGCCTGAAGGATCTGTCGTTGCCTCTCCGCCTCCTCCTTGCGGTGCCTGGAGCAACATCCGGCCGATCAATCAATCAATCAATCGGGGGGCACCACAACGACACCAAACAACGGGCAACAGCAGACATCAAATGCACGTAACGAGATACAGCAGTGCAGGACCCCCTCCTCAGGGGGTGTGGGGTGTGAAGTGTGAGGGAAGAGCAAGGGCCACCTCCTGCTGTAGGGACGGCATGACAAGACATGACACGACACGACACGCTCAATCGCATAACAACCACTAGGGCAGAGAGGAAGGAGAACAAGGCACACGGCACGACAGCGTTTAATTCTCTGGTATGAGTCCGGCATGCTACAGTAGAGTACACGGGTGTTTTTTCTCTTTCCTCCCTCCCTCCATCCCTCCCGATTAAAGGCCGCACCGACACCTGACTAGGTTGCGAGGTGGAGTGCGCAGGGTCCGGTGGAGCAAACCCTTGAACTTGCAACTGTCACTGTTACTGTTCATGTTAAGATTCTTGTTGGCGTTCTTGTGACCGGGGATGGGTAAGGCGGGGCTGGGACAGAGGTAGGAGCCGGCAGGGATTTGACCAGGAGCACAGCAAAAATAGACAGGAAAAAAATCTCAAGAGCGCCGCACCTACGTGGGGATACTCTATTCCAAGATACGTGCGTTTCGTTTTTCGATTCTGTTGGGGTTCGCCGGATCACTGTGATTCCCAACACCACAGACAGACTCAAAAACATCAATCTCCCTGGCAACAGCAGTCATCACACAAACCCTATCGACGCCGGTCTTCAAAGCAAAGGTCGATGATTGATTGTCAACACCACCAACAAGGGCCGGCTCTGAAAACCTCAAAAAACAAGTGGAGAGGATGAAAAGGCCAACGTTGTTTCATGAGCGAAGAGTCAAGCGTGTGGCCGCACCTCTCCTCCTCCTCCTTCCTAATAGCCTCCAACTTCTGCTGCCGGATGCCCTGCTGCTTTAGCCTCTCCATCTCATCCCGCTTGTCCTTTTCGATCAGGTCTTCCTCCTCATCGTCGAACTTGTTCGAAGATGACCCGTCCTTCACCGTGATGTTGCCCAGCAGCTCCTGCAACCGAGAGAGACAGGAAAAAAAATAAAAACAAAAATCACCTGACTGACGCATGAAGTAACGCTTGGGCGGAATTTACACACTACACTACACACCGTGATAACTCTTGGCTGATGGAGGTGGTGGCCAGCAGCAGCAGATACCGCAAGCACTGACTGTCCAAAAAAAATATTCACCGACAGCCAAGAGGCAAGGTCACATGTGTACACGGGCAGACAAACGCACACCAAATATCTTTATCTATCAGTGATTGATGCAAAGCTTGGGGGCAACATCACGACGAGGACGTGGCATAGCATGCGACAAAGGTATATAGTTCCATGTGACCACATCGAGTCGAGTCGGAGACTTGACTGCCTTCAAGTACAACTACATCTACAGCACACAAATTGTAAGCGATACAACAACACTTTCATGGAAAACGTCGAGCGTGGTGATCCTTGACCTGAGCCACGAACGGACGTGTTTGCCCATTGAGATCTCGAGGAGGACGAGATGGCAATAGGAACCAGCTTCAACCTACTCTGCCTACCGTTGCCACACCTCACCCTTAACTTCCACCGAACCAGCTCATTTCGGGGAGCACCCCACTCTTCACTTGTGCCTCCCCTGTGACTAATCGACTTGCCTCACGCAACACCCTCTTCTCCATCCTTACGCGGGCACAGGGCCTTGTCACGCACCACATTGAGTACCCTCCCCCCCCCCTCCCTTCAAAAACTGCGACCCCCCCCGCAATCTTAGTCATGCAAAACATGAGTACCCCCCAACCCCCCCTGCTTGGAGCCTGGTCCAGCGAAAACCCAGCGTACTCCGCCCTGGCTTTGTAGGGAAAAGAGGTCAAACGTCTACCGACTACGGCATTGATGTTGTTGTTGTTGTTGTCTTCACATTAAAAACCGTTCCGATCTCTCTCTACCCAGTACCTTCGTATGTCCGTACTGATCCAACACTCGACGCGGTCGATTCCCGTGGTCACAGGTTAACTTACCCTAAAAAGGTACACTCAAACAAACTGGCCCCGAGGGGTCCGCAAGTCAATAGAAATCAACGACAGATATTCTGGAATCCTCCACTCCCTCTGCGCGCTATGCGAGGTATCAACTGAGACTAGGAGTCACTATCTATCATGGGCCGGAGAGAAAGAGGTACACCCCCTTGGTTCAATCTTGGTACTTCACAACGCAAGCAGAGACAAGGCCATCTGGCACAGAAAAAGAGAGAAAAAAAAAGAGAAAAAAAAAAAACGGCATGCACGGCTACGAGTACACCCTCCTCCCTCCCCCTGGTTATCTCGTCGTCTCACCGTAACATCGGCGCTGTCCCAATCGTCGACCGCATCTTCCCAATCGTCCGCGGCATCCGCCCCCGCCTCCTCCTCCTCCTCCGCAGCCTTGACCTTCTCCTCCTCTTCCTTCTCCTTGCTCTTCTTCTCCTCTTCCTCAGCTTTCGTATCGCTTGCAGGCGGCGTCGGGGGGGGAGGGGGCTTGTCCTCCACAGTGGGTGCTGGTGCTGGCGCGGCCTGCTTGGACTTGTTGGCTGGCTTGCGCTTGCCGTACACGATCTTGGATTTTTTTCCGCCTCCCGCTGTTGCTCCGTCGGTTGGGACCGACGGGACTGTTGCAATGCATGACGGTTTCATTTCAAAGCGTGACAATCGTTTTTTGACACTGCGATTGACGCTTTCATGGCGTTGACACAGCGTGACAACAGTTGTTAGCACTTCAAATGACGTATAAATATCGGTTTCATGACGGCTTTATTACGTTGACAAAGCGTGACAACCATTTCTTAACACTTCAATTGAGCGTCTCATGACGGTGACAAAGTGGCAACAGTCAACACCACAAGTGACGGGTACACGATGGGTTCATGGTGTAAAAAAAAAAGTGACAAACAGTCAATACCACAAGCGACGGCTACATGATGGTTTAATGACGAAAATACAAAGTAATAACAGTTCTTCAACACCACAAACCATATACATGTAGTAGCGCATGTACGATAGAGCTACAGAATCTGGACTCCTCTGCTCGACACTGCGGTACATTTAGATTCACGACACTCACCGATCGACTATTATTATTTCAATCGCAACACTGGTTACTTACATTACAGCAGCAGGAACCCACACGGAAAGAACCACTCTCTGCTCTCAACACCTTTTCTACCGCTGTCCACCCGTCACAACCAACACCTTCACACGACGACAGGCGCAGGAGCGCAAACACGCAACACGCCTGTCTCCTCGTGATCAAAAAGTATCGCCGGCGGGTGCCTCCCTCGCCTCGCCCACTCAGTCACTGACTCACCCTCCAGACCGGCGGCGAGCATGGCGGCCTTGGCAGCCTCGGCCCTGGCCTCCTGCTCCTTCTGCTTCTTGGTCTTGTAGGTGCCCTCCTTCTTCTTACGGTCCAGCTGGAAAACAATAACATTGTGATATATGTTCATGTTGAAAGTCAGAGACTTAGGGTCTGCTTAAGACTGTGTAGTCAAGAACAGTTCCCAGGTGGTATTGCCTGTGCTAGATTGCTTGATGTGTTCTTTTTAGCAAACGCCAAGTCTGCAGAGAGGAGTACTCACCAAAAACAAGATAATAGGCTGATGACCCAAGTTAGTAGCGTACCTGTTCAAGTTACCTGTGCTACGGCGGTAGCAGCAGTGAACAAGCAAGGTAACAGGAGCGTGTGCCACAACTTGTTGACAGGTGTGCGGAGGTGCACTGTAGACGTGAGTCTATTGGTTCTACGTAAGAAATGAGAATAATACGTTGTAAGAATTTGCGGTATTATTGACCTCCGGTGGGGGGCGTGCGCTTTGCCTAGTCAGCGTTTTTGTCGACTACTGACGAAACCACGAAGAACCTAAATACCAGTCCGGAACCGCTCCGGAACCGTTCCGGAAACCTTTCTAATGTTATTCTGGACTGTTCCCATGAATGTTTCTGACAACCGTTCCAGCAAAGTATGCCCGATCAACGTATGTAGGAAACATTCTACGAACCGCTACGGAATCTACCGCATCCATCAGTGGATCGTTGTAGATACCTTTCCTGAAATACAGTTTTTCAAGCTGAAGTCACGTTCTTCAAAAGTAGCTTACTATACCGTGTTTAGTGTGCCATATCACCTACCATACTGAAACCGGCGCTGTTTCGTGCTAAGAAATCGCTCATGATGCATGTGACACAACATATACTGATATTTTTTATATTAATAGTACAACACCGCACTTCTACCTCGCCGCAACGAGGTAAAAGACTAAGCTACAAGCGTGCCTCCTGGCAAGCAACAGAAGGGGCGACATCGGGCACACTACCTCGATGCATGACGACAAAACACCAAGCCACAACTACAACACAATACGCCATTTCTTCTTAATTCCTCCTGGACACAAAAGGAAGCGTACGCCTATGATGTTGGTATCACTTCAACACACACACCTTCTCTTTGGCCTTGGCCCTCTTTCTGGCCTTCTCTTCCTCCACCGCTTTCCTGGCAGCCTCTTCCTTAGCCTCCTCCTCCGCGATCAATCGAGCCTCTTCCTCCTGCAAAGCATGGCAAGGCGTGGCAAGACACGACACGTACCGGGTACAGTAGTGCAGCAGGGAGCTCAACAAACTAGTGCACAAGAGGCCACACAAACCCGAGATTTTCAAGTACAGATTGTGGCGAGAACTGCGAGGCTGCCGCTGGAGCTGAGGCTTACTGAGGCGAGGGGTCGTTTGGCGCATGGATGGTGGGTTCCTGCGTGAATGATGCTCGTGAGGAGAGAAGAGAAGATAGGGCACCACGCGCGAGCGGCTTGTTGCTTCTGAAGCCCTTGTCTCGGCACGAAGCACCGAGAGGATGTTACAGGGCAGGAACCTGCGAAGTGGAATTCACTACAGAAATTAAGGTAGCAGCGAAGCACTCGCAACGCGTTATAGAACGCCAACAATGCGCCCATGTCCGTGTAAACAATGACCAATCATGGCCTACTTCCTGACAAAAGCAACGGCGGTATCTGACAATAAGATGTTTTGGCGTGAGCAAATCACATATCAACATCACCTCGATCTTCCTGATCCGCTCCTCTTCCTCCCGCTGCCGGGCCATCCTCTCCGCGAGCAGCTTCCCCGCCGCCGATTGCTTGGGCTTCTTGTCTTCGTCGTCTTCTTTCTTGTCCCCCCCTCCACCACCCTGAACACATAGCAAACAACGGCATTGCAATTACACACAAACATGACACGTCATGTACCGCATGATACTGCCTCCTTTCATCGCGAACACGAACCGCTGAACACATCGCAAACAATTCGATCACAATTACACACATACGGCTCTGTACCACGTGATACTGCCCCCCTTTCATAGCGAACATGCACCACATGCAAAGATATGGTTGGTCGCAGCGGTGCTATTGAGTAGGAGGAAAGTTCAGATCCTTGGATACAGGCGACAACAACTCCACGAACTTCACCTTTACATAGCCAAAGGAATGGGTTCTGCACAAACGGGCCTTATATTGTAGCCAAGCCAATCCAAACCCAACTTTTTTATATCTTCGACAGCAATCAAGTAATCCTGGTGATCGTGAGTGATGCATATGAATTCTCTTGCCCTCTTGTCACGGTCGCTCTCAGCAGTGCCTTCAGAAAAAAATGCCCAACGCATTATCTCACTGCTGGTGCTGCCATCCTTCTGCCACTGCTCAAGTCACGCAAACGTCATCACGTCATCACCTCACCTTCTTCTTTTTCTTCTTCTTCTTGCTCTTGGACTCTTCCCCCGCCCCCGCCCCCGCGCCCATCTGCGCCAGGAAGGCCGCGGCGGCTGCGGCAGGGTCCTCCATCGGGGCTACCGCTGGTCCAGCATCGGCGGCAGTTTCGGCCTCCTTAGGCTGGCACAAGAACCAACGGAGGAACATATGTAGGTTGATGACGTCAAGCAACTCTTAGAACGTGGAATAGAAGTGGTGAGGTGCGGCGCTACACACAAGGCCGTAGCGAGAATACACGGCATGCACCACTGCTGTTCGATGCTAAGGTGCTCAGAAACGACTGCAGGGAAAAATGAGCTGGAAAAGGTAAGGTATTCTGCAGTAGGACGACGGCAACGACGACAAAGTAATACGAGTGAGGAAAGGGAAAGACTTGTGCATGCACATGCGTTGAAACGACACCTCCGAAAAGCGAACGATGCCGAAGCCATCATGCCTTGTTGGACAGTTGGACAGTGATCGTTGCGTTGCGAATAGTCAGTCTACTAGCCGTAAGCGCAACACGTCACATCCTTCCTTTTCCGTCAGGTAAAATCCCTCTCCTCTCCTCCTTACGGGCTATCTTGCTATTTTCACTCAGGTCACCATCCCCCTGCCGTGTAGACAAACACGACCTCTGAACTTGCTGGTGAGGGGAAAGGGCAAAGGCATGGCGCCTCGTCCCGTAGGCAAGGCTGCATCAACTACACTCTTGACTACGTTCGTTCGTCCGAGCTTTCGGAAAAGCCTAGACCCGGTATGTATGCATACATGCATACCGCATATGACACTGATGGGGTGGTTGGCATGGGTCTTGCTTCGCTTTGGCGTGCCCATCCTCTTGTTACAGTAACCTCACCGTGCTCTTGGTCTTGGAAGCGGGACCACCGCCCTCGATCTCCGCCATAAGCGCGTCCAAGTCGTCGGCGTCGTCGCCTCCGCCGCCGCCGCCTCCACCGCCTTTCCCTTTCCCTTTCCCCTTCTTACCTCCCTTTCCTTTTCCCTTCGCCACGGTCTATTAAAAACGATGGTGTGGGAGTTTGGGTTGGGCCAAGGCAAGCCACATGAGTGCAGACGGATCGTCAGGAGAATGGGGGCTTGGACAAACAGGGGTGGGGACGAGCATTAGACTGCATGTGCACAGGGCAGGCATAGTGTTTAGTGATCCTTTTCGACGATTCATTCTTCCAAGACCGTGAACTGATATTTTCCTATTTTCGGCTTGCTCCGTTTTCATGGTACACACATACTCCGGAGTACGACTTATACCTGGCCAAAAAAGGTCTGCCTCGTATGCACTACTATTCACTTCGTCGTTTGCCACCAAGTATGAGTCTACCCCATGTGGCTGAACCTAAGGACCCAACTGTCCAAGAAACGATTCCAAGCTCGCGGAATGCACGACCCAACCCCCCTTTGGATGCAGAGGCCGAAGCACCAGCACCCGAGCCAGTCGGGCCATCCTTCTCATCGGGCTCGTACGCTACAAGAGGGAGCTCTCGTCCGTCGCCCCGCTTTTGCAAGGTGCCGACGCGCTGATGGAGTCAAACTCTGCAAGAGCATCGGTGCCTGCGTCTGTGGACATCCGAGACCTCTCTCGCATGTCCAAAGACGCAGACACCACTGCTATCCAAAAGTATGACGCCAGCAGCGCTTCGGCACATTGCAAAGGCGGGGCGACGGGCGAGAGCTCGTTCTCGTCGACTACGAGTCCTGATGACGAGGAGGATGAGCAGGCTGGTTGGTTTGCTGGTGCTTTGGCCTCCACGGCATACGATTTTGTGTGTTACTCGCAAGAACAACATTTGAACTCCATCCTGTCATGCATACTGTTGCTCGTCGCGGACAACCATTCCAGAGAAGGGATTGCAGTACTGTGACACCCCTCTCTGAACTGCAGCAGGTCTGTGCAAGATACTGCTTGCAAGTGCCCTCTGTGTTCGTGTTCCAAGAAAAGTCCTCATATCGTCCCTCAAAACATTTACTTCATGTCAACCACAGGGAAGATACAAATTGCACATGAGTGCTTGCATTGGCACAGAGAGAGAGAGAGAGAGAGAGAGAGAGAGAGAGAGAGAGAGGACGGTGGAATACCTTGACAGGGGCAGCCACAACCTCTACGGCAGGAGCAGCAGCAGCAGCAGCAGGGGGAGGCTCGCTGTCGGAGTAGCTGTCGGAGTCGCTCGACATGTCCCCAAACGCCGACGCCTTTCATGCACGAGACACGGCGATGCAGGTCCAAGCAGAACGCGGGGTATGGCGGAGAGCGGTCGAGGCCGGCGAGCGAGCATACGACACACAGGAGACAGAAGCGAACAAAACGAGAGACGAAAATTAAATATCATCAAGGATGCCCGTGCATGGGCTATAGCCTCGGCAGCAGGTGCCTGACATGCCGCCCTGCCAATTTGCAGTACAAACCGCGGTGCGTCCGCGAGCAACGAAGGCGTGTGGTTTGCATTGCCGAGAGATGGAGCCAAAACCAGGCATCGCCTTACAGACCTTCATCTTCAACTACAAGCAAAACGCTGCACTCCGGCAAGGGACGGGAAAACACGAGCCTTTCCAGCGAACGTTCCTCGTGGCCATCTGCAGAAAGCTTAAGGCAACACCGCCCCAGCGAGGGAGAGAGAAGGCACCCACAGGCAGGGAGGGGAAGGCACAACCGCACCCACCGCAGTACCTGTGCAAAGACACTCGTCACACCTTGGTTGTGGTCGGCACGTCGACATCCGAATCACTGTCGCTGCTGGACATTTCTTCGCTTCAGGTGCTACCTTGGTTCTTGGTTCCTTTCGACCCAGGATGATCTGCTAGCTGGCTTCTCCACCATGCGTCGAGTACGCGGAACGTGTGTGCTGCTGCTGTTGTGGAGATCACGGGGGGGGGGCCTCGGTGGTATTGGTACATACAACAACCCGTGGGGTCTACACGAACGAATCACGAAGCCCCCAACTGTCTGTTCCCTGTTTGAGTGCTGTGCTGTTCTGTGTTTGATTTGAATCCATCCATGTCCCAGCAGACACGTTGTAGACTATAGCTGTGAGACCACGTCTGGACGCTAGGCGATAGAGGGAGGTGAGTGAGCTGTTCGGAGGTACGGGGGTCTTGCTCACCTATGGTGTCGTTGCTGCGATAGCGCGTTCGAACAGTGCTCGAGCTGCTGCTGTACACGGCTCTGCTGCACCATATCGTCTGTGTGCGAATTTGTCCACGAAACGATGTGCCCGACGGGATGGCGGCTCGTTCTGTTCACTCCGTGCATTGTCGTCTAGACTGGTCTAGACGTCCAACCTCTGCCCGTGTGAAGGTGTGCAAAGCACTTGTGGTTGGTCACCACCGGGAGTTAGTCATTAGTTATTTACAGTTACAATTCGAATCAACACACCCGCGAGTATTCATGTGTCGCGCGTGCTGCCGTTTGAGTGGGGAGGGGCGGAGGGGGGAAAGGCAGCGACGGACACAGACGCCACAGAGCGAGAGAGCCAGAGTCACAAACAGCATGTGGGTGTGGTGTATCAGTGCAGATTGCCTGTGGTTACTTCGTTACACCTATTTCTGTCCCTGTGTTTATCGCGTGGTCTGCATGTACTTCTATTTGTGTGTGCCCGTCACGGAGTCTAGACAGGAAGTCGTGTTCAATTTTCAAGTCAAACAGCGTAAATTTGAATTTGACGCGTTTACCCTACAGCAAAGAGAGCGCGTCTCCTGTCTGTGGCTATGTACATCGAAGACGCTGCAGTTAGAATATGACTGGAACACAGAGCATCAGGAATGATAAGTCTATAGCAGCTCTGTCTTCGTAACGCATCACAACTGCTGAGGTCTAGTGACGGCCTGTCAGTAACTCTTCAGGTCAAACCGGATGTCGAAGGCTGGGCTCGCACCCTGGATTAGACTCACACCGAACGAACCCAACCCTAACCAACCCTAACCCTCACCCACGGCCAACGCACGGCCTAGCGGCAGCGAACTGGGCGAGAACGGCGAGAGGGCACTGGAGAGGGTTAAGGCTAGGAACCAACGCCCGACCAATCAGAGGGCGTGGAACCGCGTAGATAAGAAGAGTCACCAACAGACCGTCAAAACTACTGTGCAACTGCTGTACCCTACCAACCGCCGTTCAGCCCCCCCCCCCCCGGCTCTCCCCTATTCCCATTTATGTGCACACTTACAGCACCGAAAAAGAGGTGTGCTTGCAACGCAGGACGGGAGATATGCATACGTACGATATGTCGAATGTGATTGCAAACCAGTGTTGATTCAAACGCCCGTCTCTGACCGTGTGTATGCCACGGGTTCAAAAACGGAACTAAATAAACAACGCGGGGTGTCTCTTTTTTGTATGCATACCGCCACATGCATACATGGACAGCGCCAAACGTAGCAGTGCGTGGTCGGTGTCGGTGTCGGTGTACAAATGCTGTAAGTGGAATCCCCCCTCCCTCCCTCCCCTACGTTTTCCGGGTGTACGGGTGCGCTCCCTTCCCTTCCATTGCGGCAGCCAGTTCTTTCCGTTCAGCACACTGCCGTTCTCCCACATTAACCAAGCCTGGTATTCGTGCACACGCCTTTCGTTTGTTGTGTTTCTGTGGTCCGTGTGTGTTTTAGAACAAGACTCAGCTTCCAAACGTCCTGGACACCAGTAGATAGTAGACAGCAGATACCCGTACCAAACAAGAAGATGCCGCCGTACCGAGGGGGACGAGGCGGGGGGGCTGCTGGTGGGGTGCTGTCGCGCGGCGCTGTACAGCAAGACAATCAGATGAAAGAAATCTTGGACGACATCACTGCAGGAACCAAGGAGTTGGCTGGCACTGTGGGGATGCAGGAAAACAGGTTAGTGTGCTCAGAGCAAGCACAGCAGGTGGCTTTGTATCGGTGGAGATTTGTGGTGATCCATGGCGTATTATGGGATCCAAGAGAGTAACGGCTCTTTGCGGCCCGTGCGTCCTTAACCCACCTCGAGATAAATCATGTGTGCTTGCCCTTTTCATCCCGCGTGATGCTTCTGGCTTGGTCGAATCTCGTCTGTTTTGTGAACCACTGACGCTGATCGTCAAACAACAACGAAACCAAACGGCAGCGGCCTGGACAAGGAGGTACACCAGAAGCTGGCGGAGCAGGTGCAGCAGCTCGCTGCTCAGAATGCCAAGCTGGAAATCAAGGTAAGCGATTGCAACAGCGGGGGAAGCTAACCACCATCGGTTTCATTCACCATGTACAGAATCCTTGTCGGCACAGCATATAAAATAGTATCAGCAGCTTCTGCAATGGCACAATAAGCAAGTCGACGGTGCCAATAGAGGATGACATTTTTTTGTCCCTTCCTTGAAAAGCGCAAGGCTACACGGGCGCCGCCGACGCTGTGGACGGTTCTCTCCGTCACGGCTCCGCTGTCGCGGGCTGGAGACCCGAGCGGGAGCCGAGTTTGCTACAAGGTCGATTTATTCTGACGGGATTTGTTGGTGTGTTTGCAGAGGGCGGCGACGGCAAGTGCTATGAAGACTCTTGCGGCGGAGGTGGACAAGAAAACAGCCGGGGGCGCGGCGGCGGCGGCGGCAGCAGCGGCTGACGACCCGCCACCAGAAGAGGTTGGTCGTTACCATGGCCGTTGTCATGGTAATTACCATGGTAATTACCATGCCATTACCATGTGTGCCTGCGTAGGCTACCCCTGCTGTATTTACTGTAAGATATCTGTTATTTTGGGACAGTACTCCTACACAGAGTCTCACCTTTGTATTGTAGTCCAGTTTGAAGGCACACACTCTCCGCTTGTGTGTGCCGCTGAATACTGCTGACATGCACTACGACTGAAGCCCATGTTCTGGTGCTCCGTCTCTGACTACCGTACCTCACCATCTGCACATGTTCTTCGCCAATGCATGTTCGCCTTGGAACTCTGTGTTTGTGTTTGTGAAAGATGGACATGGCATACTTCCTCGAGAGCATGACCAGCAAGTTGTCGTCCGCTATGGAAGGGGCAGACGAAAAGGCACTCGAGTCGAAGGAGTACAAGGACCTCATGAAGATGATCGTGGTGAGTTGGGGGGGTTGGTGCCCACGGCAGCCCGTAACCTTGAGGTGCAAGCAACGCGGTGACAAAGGTGTTGACAGCGGCGAAACCCTTGCTTTGCACGCGTTGTTTTCTGAAGTGAACTCGTATTCGACACAAGCGGTTTCGTGTTCCAAACCACGACAGGTAGAATACGTACCCCATGGTTTTTTTGTGGTGACTGCGTGGTGGTAGTTCTTATCATGGCAAAGTATTTCCCGAGGCAATGTAACTTGATTTCTTCTCTGTCCTGTGCGGTGCTTTTGACCAGTCGTAATGTTAACGTCTATAGCGAGACGATGCGACTTTGATCGGGTTACTTCTACACTCTGTTCGAAACATTCAAGCCGTTGCTCTCACATGGCGTTAAAAAAGGACCCGGCGTGACGTTGCTGGTTGTACTGCTGTCCCAACAACCCGACAGGCCACGGCCATGGACGATGACGATGACATCATCGTACCAAACGACAACAGGGTCAGTCTCAAGTGCCCCCTCACGTCTAGCACCTTCGTCGACCCCGTCAAGAACAAAGTGAGTTGTTACGCTTGAGGGAGTGAAGAACGAAGTGAGATATTATGCTTGACGACGGGAAGAACAAAAGTGAGTTACTCTACTTGCTTTTGTGCAACAGCGGTGCTACCAGCATCGCTCTGCCAGGGGGTTGAGGGGCATGAACACCTCATGGGTGAAACCTTGCTGGCCTTTTGCATCGTTGTTTTTTTGGAACAGAGAAAACTTGCACGTTTTCCTTGCGAGTTCACACACGTTACACCCGCAGAGAGCAGGGGATAGGTATTCCCCGCGTCGCATGGCTTGTCTCTTGTCACGCCGCTTGAAGACGGGGTCTGCTGCAGGGGCCGGCACTTTACTCGCTGTTTGCTGTGCATACTGTAGGAAATTCATGGCTTGCCTCCTAAGGGGAGTGAGTGTAGGAAAGTCATGGCTTGCCTCCTAAGGGGGAGTGAGTGTAGGAAAGTCATGGCTTGCCTCCTAAGGGGAGTGAGCGTAGGAAAGTCATGGCTTGCCTCCTAAGGGGAGTGATTGTTGTTGTCGTTCGGTTGATAGTCCAGCAATGCAAGTGCGCATCAAGCGCGGGCATTGGGTATTACGTGGGAGACGGGGGCCTGGTTTATTTTCTGAGAAAGTTGCCTTCGACCCAGGGGTTACCCAGGCTATAATGTACAACCGGTTGCATTACGTATACCCGCCCCCCCCCACCCTACCAAAGGAATGGTAGACCATCGGTGATCGGTCCTGCGGGAACAACGCTCCGTCCTCTCGAGGACGCGTGTGGTCAATGGTCTAGCCGCTAAGGCATGCAAAACATAAGAGTACGCCCCCTCCCCCCCCTCCAGGTCTGCGGCCATACGTACGGGAAGAAGGCGATCTTGAACCACATCCGCGTCGCCAAGAACGACGGGGGGGTGTCTTGCCCCGTTGCCGGTTGCTCGAACAAGGTCGTGAAGGCAGACTTGGTCCCGGACAAGGACATGATGCGCCGGGTGAGTGCTGCCTGCCCGCCTCTTTGTCGACACGCCTTCTGTGTGACAACGCCTTTCTTTCCAAAGAAGTGGTATCGATCAATACGGAGTGTTCGTACACCAGATGGATGGAGGGAGTGGGAGGCAGAACGGGTTGAGGTGTCGACGGAAGAGAGGCACTGGCTTGCCACCCAGTCATGGGGTTCGTCCTCAACAGCACACCGGGCTTGGCATATGAGGCGCTGGGCTTAGCGTGAATTGCATGGCGACGTATCAAGCTTCAAAGTCGTTCTCTGTAAACGGAAGATGGACTGCTGTATGCGTTTCCCAGAGCGATTGATCTACAAGGTCATGAACATCGCAGCACGGCAATAACGTGTCTGTGGAGAGATCAGTGATGAAGGAGGACAATTATCCCCTGACAGGCAGGAGGGAAGTTTGCCGCCGTTCACTTTTCCGGTTCAGAAAAGTAGAGCGGGCTTGGCGTCAGCGCTGCCCTCGTCGTGAGAAACACGCTACAGTATCCGGAGCAAAGGTGCATGGTCACATCGTTCCTGTCTACAAAAGTTGATTTTCGTTTCGTATTGCCTCCGTTTCGTGTTCCCGACCGAGTAGAGAGCACTGGTTCCACCATTGCTGCCGCTAGGCACAATGCACGGGCAGGGTTGTAAACCCAAGCACCCCCAACAATAAGTCGCCTTGTGTTTCAACACTTCATGCATACTACACGCGCAGGGTTGTTTTCCCCAAGCAGCTCCAACGTTAGCGTTGAATGTGGCCTGTGTCTCAACACTGTACGTGATGACCGACTGATATCGTTAATCGCGTGTTTTTGTTCCGCAGTTAAAGATCGAGGAAAACACGCAGCACACACAAACTGCCCAGGATGCGGAGGACGTCGAAGACGACGACGTTGCAGAATCCTTCATCTGATCTGGAATGATGGGATCAGAACTCACCTGCACCAGGAGATTAAGTATAGGCAAAATATGTAGATATGGTGCATGTAGCCATCGCATATGGCAGGAGACATGCTTTGGCAGGCGCGAACCAAAGGAATGGATATGCATCGTAACGGAAGCACCAGATTCTAGTTTGCGGAGAGTCGTACGAAAGGTGCAGCTGTCATGTTGACCTAGCTCAGCTTCAGAGAGATGAGTAATTTACAGGTTCGAGGTTCAACCCCGGCGCATGTTGGTAGAGTACATTTGATTTTCCTCTGTTCTGACCATGTACATCGTATAGTTGTCTCTGCGCCGTGCTCTTCATTTGGCGCGCGCGGTGGATGTTGCTTGTTGTTGCTTGCCGTGTTTGGTTGGTCGCGACCATTGACTACGCGTGTTTTTCGAGACCGAGGGGGGACGTTTCGAGTCTCAACATGGCCAGCTGTCGTCGTTGTGACAATGATTGTTTAGGTTTTCTTCCGACGATTCGATGTTGCTTGTCTGTAACAGAACAAGTTGCCTGCGTTCTTTGTCTCTCATCGATATTTGTTTTTATGCTTCGTGTTTTAAAAAGAGGAGAAAGGCTGTTTCGCATCCCTTGCTCACCTGTTCCGTCCGCAAGGTCATCGGTGAACATGTGAGCATCGTGCAAGATAGAAGATGGTCTACTACGCACGAAAGGCGCTGACAGCTTTAGAAACCGCCCGCAGCAATACTTGGTTGGCCCATCCGTTGTGCCGCAGAGGTTCAAGCGTCCTCGAAAGGTACCAGAACGACCGGCTGCGGTTTTCAACCAACTCATCACGGCGCTCGACAAGGCTATCTTCCATGAGGTAGGTCCCTAAGCGAGAGGGTATTCCTTCTCCCGGATTCCTCGGAGAGATGATGTTGGGGCAAACAACAACAACGAAGGCAAACACAGCACTAGACGCCATGTGCTGCCTTCTGGCAGAGCCCCCCCGGCCGAGATGAACGAGTTCGTTCATGAAAAAGCACCGATTAGCAGTGAAGAGCAAGACCGACAAAAAGAAAAGAGGGGATTCTGGATTCCGTTCCGTAGAAGGGGGGATATTCTGCGGTATGTACAATCGACGGCTTTCCTCCATATACGTCTCGACACAGCCAACCCTCCCGAATCTCAAATGCGTCCCCATGACAACCCATTGACTCGCCCAAACCATCACGCAGGCGCGTAGACACACGCATGAGGTGCAGGGCGAGGTTCCAACCGTTCGAACTACGCGACTCCGGCACACTACATGTTACAAAAAAAGTATGCATAGGCACGACAAACTTCACACCGTCCAGCTAATCAATGATCAATTCTTCTATCGCCCAATCCTCGTGGCTACCGTCCGGCAGATACCGCCGGATCTTTATCGGGATTTTCCTCTCCCTCAACTCCTTCATGGCGATCTTCAAGGGGTCAGTCTCGTTCTCGATGTCGACCATCACCGGCGCGTTCATACTGAACAAGAACGGGAAAGGGGGGGAAGGTGGAGGGGGGGGGTGGTCGCATTTTTTAAGAGACATTCTTGTCGAGCCAGTACATCCTTTCTTAACCAACGCGGATTCAGAAATTGATGAAGATCTCGTGCGTTTAATAAGCAGGTCAGACTACTGCTGTAGCCCATGCTCCTCTATGACACACATTTGAAGAAAAAAAACAACCTAGCTGTAGTAGCTGATTCGGTACATACACAGAGACGCATCAATCTGTGGCGAAACCCGAGCCTTGCGATTTGACTTGCTCAGCGCGATCGATTTAGCAAGCTCCGGTACGCATTACTCGCTCTACAGGAGTAAACAGAGGTTTCCACGTCTGTCCACCAATGCCTTTTGATATCAGGAGCTCCACGATGTACCCCTTCCACCAACTTCAGGAGTAAAAGAAGGTAGACACAAGCCTTTTAAACGGTGATATGTAGCTGAGGAACATGTGGCCTTACACTAGAAGTAGAGAGTAGGAAAGCTGCTTCTGTAGCTTTATTCTTGCATCGAATTAAATCAGATGACGTAAGATACCACATCCCCTGGGACCGGTGTGAAACCCCCCCAATACTTGTACTTTGCACCAAAAACAGCAGTGACAGTGACAACAATGGCGGCGTTGGAACCGTCTAGTCGAGAGCTTCCAGGGCAGGCATCATTTGATCTTGGTATCCTCTGCAAGGGAAACAACTCGAGCTTTGAAATTCGGTCGAGGGGGTGTGGTACCTTATGAAACCTCCAAAGGTACATGCACATCACACTAAATACTGACTGCTGTAGACGCTTTATACAGCCATCCGTATGCGTACACTCGTTGTCACCCACCTTATTTGCAATGCCCTTGTCCCCAAAATCCTCGCCCGCTCGTACTTGGTCATATACTTTGTTGTTATGCGGTCGTCAGCGCTCCTCAACCCCGCCCCTCCCGCGTCCGCCGCGTCTACGACCTCCATGTCCGCAGGATCGGCCTCCAGCGGCGTGGGCTCGTCTACTTGGGGGTCGTCATCCTCGTTAGCAAACACGTCGTATTCTTCCCCTCCGTCTCCATCGCCATACTCGTTATCAGACATGTTGATTTGGTGATGCTTCCACTTCTCTGTCGGGCTTCAAAGGCTGTGCGAGGGTGGGTGGGTACTGCTGCTGTGCTGTCCATGCCCACGGGTGCGGGAGCGCAGGGGGAGCATGGATGGAGGGGCTCCGCTGGTCGGGTCTCCGGAGAACGCGGCTCGACTCAAATTCCTCCGCCATTGTGCTCATTCCCCCGCCTACCCCCGCCCCCCCGCCCCGCGCCCGGCGCGCCCCCGCCGCTCCCACAGCAGTGAAGGCGTGAAGGCACGCCGTGTTTCAGGTACTCTCGGCTGGCAATCTCTGCAAAAAGAGAGCACGTGTGTACGGCAGTAGAGCGGGCTTCCTTGATTTCCTTCTCTTCGGCGACGATGGCGCCTGCAAACGACCTCGTGGATCGCTTGAGATCCTCCAGCAAGTTGAGGCAACCAACCCCAACAGAGGCAGCGTGGTTTAGTCTCCAAGCCCGCGCGGGGAAGGATAGTGCCCCAGCGGTCGATTCAGCTGCTCGTGTATCAGTGAGACCCAGATGCGCGTCTCTGTCTCTCATCCTCCGTGAGGTGGACGGCAAGGTGGAAATGTTGGTGATCAAGAGAGCCGTCAGTCTTAGGTGAGAAACATACAAAATACATGCGGTGTTGGTTGTCACGTATTTCTGCGTACCGGTAGATGGCGGAGAGCGGAGCCATGCACAGTCGACCGCAGGAGTGTCCTTAATGTCATCAAAGAGCGGCATCTGTCTATCTCGTACTTGTTCCACTCGCTTTTTCGTTATTTTCTCTCTCACTCGCCCTATGTATATCTCCGCCGCCCTACATGATTACTTTGTTCGGGGACTCCCTGTGCGAGCGCCGGTCAATCCCCTCTCCAATATCATGCTTGCTGATGTGCTCTCTGATGGACTACCTCTTGGCCCCTGGTAGAGACAAATGGAGTGGACACATCGCTCTGCCGGGAGGGAGACAAGAGCCAGGAGAGACTGAACTCCAGACGGCCGTGCGAGAATGCCAAGAGGAGGTTGGGATCTCCTTGATGTCTAGGTATCACAATACAGAGGGCCCCCCGGTATAGTGCAGGTTGAATAGTGCAGGTGCCCGGTATAGTGCAGGTAAAATCTCTGGACACAGACAACGCCCTCAATAGTGCAGGTCCTGCACTATTGAGGGAGGTTCCGCTATAGTGCAGGCTGGCATCGCGGTGCCCCACAATAGTGCAGGTTGGACACACACACGAAGACCAACACAACAACCAAGGAGGGAATCATAGCGTGGAAGAGAGCAAGAGTTTCGAGCCAGATGACCTTCACCACAACAAACGACGCGGGGCCACAGAGAAGAGCTGCCGAAACACAATTGCTGTGCAAGTGATGATGAAAATGATGATGGTGGTGAAAGCACTCCAAAATGAAGTAGAGTGCAAAGTAACAGCCTTGGTAGACGCGTGCAGCTTTCTTCTGTTGCTACGGTTTCTGTCCTTCATTCGGAGAATAGCTTAGTCTCCCCCATGCCGCCCCCTTACGGGGTTCCCGTTAATGGCATTTACAAGTGTCGTGTGTTTTAACCGCACTGAGACTGCGTCTTTTCATTGGTCAGCCGGTTAGCGCGGTCGATGCTAGTAATAAAGACCCCCCACACACACACGGATAGATGAGGAGGCGGGAAGGGATATCGTTAGGATAGACTGACTAGGGAAGACATTTTTGAGCCACCTTTGGCAAAGTAGGAAGGAGCGATTGACCATCGATGATCGGTCCTGTGGGAACAATGCTCCGTCCTCTCGAGGACGCGTGGTCAATGGTTTAACCGTTAAGGCATGCAAAACATAAGAGTACGCCCCCCCCCCCCCCCCCCCACACACGGACAGCGGACAAAAGCAACACAGAAACGAGGGTACACGTGCTGCTGCAGACCCGAAGAGCTCTACGCAGAGGCGCACCATGCCTTGCGCGGACGGTGATCGGGCGATGATAGCAGCGCATTCCTCTAAGCGGGTGCGCCAGGCAGACATGAGGGATTTTCGCGTAGTGCGGGCGGGGGTTCAGCCGTAGAAAGTAGTGGTTCTTTGTTTTCTTGCAGTGCGCTTCCTGTCGTGTTTTTTTTATTGTCTATTTTTTCGTGCAAGAACGAAGGAGGGCAACGAGGACTGAGATAAGCTTCGTTAACTATGTATCAACGTAGAAGGGTTGGTTCGCGCGACAACAGTTCAGGGTGTGCAGTACAGAACGAGGCAGGAAGAAAATAACGGTGGAACGTGCAAGTAATTTTTCTACAACATCTCTGTGTGTTCGACAAGGGGGAACCACAACGCGTTGCGAGACAGTCTGCCCACGCTAGGACAGGGCCCAGTACTACTGCAATTCGATGAATTTCGTACCCAGTTAGCCCCTCAAAGCGTGAGCGCCACACAATGAAGTCAAACATCTCCCCACCTGCACTATTGAGGGACATTCGAAACCTCAATAGTGCCGAACCTGCACTTTTGAGGCACTCTTCGGGGTAGTGCAGGTGCCCGCTATAGTGCAGGAAAAATCTCTAGACACACCCCTGCACTATACCGGGCCCCCCTCTGTACTTGTGATTTCCGTGTTGATGTTACGACAACCCAGAAGAGCGTCGCATGAGGCTTGCGCTACATATGCTCCCCACAAACACACTAGCCGCCCTGAAGATATTATCCCCTGCCTTCACCTCGAATGAGGCTTGCGCTGCATATGCGCTCCACTAAATACAGCAGCAATAGTCGCCCTGAAGATACTGTTCTCTGCCTTCCCATTACTAGCATGTACATTGTGTTTGTTTCTTGTCTCATTTCCGTCTTGCACCGTGCATGCAGTCGTTTCGCCCTTCTGGGGAGACTCAAGGACTCCAAGACAAGCACCAGCAAAGACGCGCTCACAGTGTCTTGTTTCGGTGAGATATGAAAATGGTTCCTCGCGAAAGACTTGTTAGTTTGTGAGTTCTTTATGGTGCCGCTTGCGCGTGTCAACCAGGCGGCTAAAGTTAAATTTTCTTGGGACATATCTTTTGGACCGTCAGTAGCATCGCGTTGCTGGCAGGACAGGGGCAGCAAGCGGGGAGTGTCCGTGAGGGCAGCGGGATGGGTGAAACAAGGCGCCTGCTGCCCCTGTACAACCTTGGAGGAAGTTGTAAGCAATGCTACATGGGTGCTTTTGTACCTCCAACATGAAGAAGGATAGGGTCAACCGAGGCACATTCGGTGCCTTGCATACCGTGGTCAAGTTTTTTTAGCCGTATTCTTCGACACTGCAGTCTAGGCATTTCCTCGGTTAACGGATTACGTACGGTGAAGTTGATGCGCTGCATCAACCCAGTGCACTTGCTTCGGTTTGAGCTCCATGAAAGATGGATGATATTCGCATGTGTCCGCCTCCCCCCACCTTGCGCCCTCCGCAGCGTTCGTGCAGACCGACAAGTCGGATATACCTGTCACCATCCAGGAGGCAGAAGTGGCCTTCGCGTGGTGAGAAATAAACAGGAAGAGGAAAGCCAGAAACGTAGAAAAGAAAGAGGTTCGACTCTTCAGTCACTTGATCGGTTGGCCGCTTTTTTGTCCCGAGACCGTCTTCTTGCTGTGTGTCGTGGTGTCGGTGCCTGGCGGGATTGTGCATACACGTTTCTCCTGGGCACAACCGATTCCCCCTCTAACTGTGTATGTCCCATCCTCAGGTGGGTGGACACAGCAATCTTCTACCCCGACCCTGCCCCGCGAGAGGTTGGCTTCGCTGTCACCAGCATGGTCAAGGCTGCGCGGAAGCCGCACTGGAAGGTGAGAAGACGATATACGCGGCTTCTGCGGTTTGCAATATTATTTACCCAAGGCTTTGATGTGTTTGTTTTTTTTCACGAATGTTCGAATCGTTTTGCGGGGCGTTTTTTCTTGGTCATCACGCTGCTTTTTGGATCTGTATGCACAAAGCGACATGCCCTGTGCGGAAAGGCGCTGATGGCGCGACTGTTTGGCGCATATAAACCGTTCGTCCCCTGCTTGTTCCTTCCTTCACCTCCACCGTCATGATGTCTTTAGTTGACATGTCTGAGACTGATTGTGCGTATGTGACTACGGCACTACTACTGTTGTGACTCGTTCACGCATGCGTGCGTGGTGGAACACGCGGTCAAACGTCGATCGCCCGACCCTCCCTGACAGCAGCCTTCCAAACGTTCGTTCGCCTTGTTCTATCTCTAAAGGGGCTCATGTGGTTGTTCGGGGCAAACACCGTCTTCTTCCCCTGCTTCTTCCTTCCTCCACCTTCGGTGTCGGGACGGAAGCAGTCTCTAGTTGACGACTCCACGATTGACGTTCCAACCCCGGTGGCGTACCCCCTGGATGCGAAAACGTTTGTAATGTGGGGGCTGACGTTCGGTGTTGTTTCTGACCTCGTCGTGGCCGGTGGCGGGCGCGGGTTTGCCCACCGCCAACCTCCGTACTTCCGGTCAGTGTCCAAACACGTATGGTCTTGTTGTTTCAGCCTGACTGCCGCTTCCGCCGTGCCGAACCGTGGCCGAGTTTCTGTCGTCGATGCAAACTGTGCGATTCTCCATGCGCGTTTTCGAGCTTCATTGACTAGAGAACGAACCAGTGGTTTCTTCGTGAAGCGCCGACGCGTTACAGCAGCGAACACAGCAACTTGTGCACATGATGACGGGCTCGTTGTTTCTTTGTCCATTGTGTGGCTGCAGGTTCCACAGCGTCCGGGCGGACACACTTGCAAATATGTTCTGCCGGATTCGGAGATGGCCCTGGAATCTCAGGCGGGCTCTTTCTTCTTCTCTTGCGACGCTGCGCCTTCGCCAATGATCGACTACAAGCGTCTACGGAGACCACGCCAAGTTTATTGATTGTGCATACCCAACGTCGTCGTGTGGAGCCAGGACGCTTTGGACAAATGGGCTCACCCGCTCGACAAGAAAGTGGGGTTGCAGCGATACAGGCTATACGATTTTTCAATCCTCAGGCCTTGGTACGTGTGAGCGTCTACGCCCCAGGAGGCACTAATCAACACAAACTCGCCGAGGGCATGCAAGTTAGTGCCCAAGACGGCCGACGGAGGGATTTCTTACGCCGGGGTTAGGCAACAATAAGTGCATGGTTCGGAGTCTCCGACTGAACAGCATCGGAAAAGACTCTCTTGTTGTGCGGCACTAAAACGCCGTGAATAGAAACTGTGTATCGGCCTCTTCGAGAAAATTCCAGTGAAACAATCAGCGGCGCACTAGCGACTTGAAAGTTTGGTGGCGTGCCGAGAATTCACGCAACACATTTTGGGTGGCGTAGTCGTTGCATGATTCAATCAAGGCAGGTAGAGTAGTTCAACACCAGTAAAAAAATGTACTTAGAGATGATGGCGGTGGTTTGTGGCTTGACCTACATTGCTTTGCCAAGAGACACGGGACACGCACGAGCTGACACACGACCTTAAAAAAAACGCACTTCTCATGAAAACCCCGTTGCACCCGCAACGAGTAAAGAACCAAAGCAAAACACAGGACAACAGCAATTAAACAAAAATGGGATGGTGATTTTTTCCAGATTCACAACGCTCGAAGACACCCCCTCGTTTTGTACTCGCGCTACTGTTCACACCACCACCGAACTCAAGCCGTAAATGGCATCAAATGGCCAATGACTCTCGAGAAACGTCGACAGTATGACGGAAACTACGGACACACGTGGTGTTGTGAAGCGTGCAAATACGGTCAAGTTCCAGCTATCACAGCAACACACACACACGCTCTTTCGGCTGAGAACCCAAACTCAACATACTCTTAGGGTTAGGTTACGTTATAGAGATGCGCAAACCTCACCCTGTGGATCAGATCTTGTCCGAAAGCTCCATGCGCCCACGATTACACGCGGTGAACGGTCCAAATTGTACTGGTGCATCCCTCCCCTATTGCACGGCTGTACACAAACCAACAACGTTCGCGGCACTCGGCCATTTTCATGCCCATGAAAGCTAAGCGTTGTCTCCCAAACGCACGTGTAACCATCAACTGCAGAACCTGAGGGTTAGACATGTACTGGTTCCATGGCGCCGCCAAAAGCCCAATCCCGCAAAACGCCTCTCAGCTGCCTGCTGCACCCAGTCGCCTTCATCCCAGCCAGCGTAGCACACAGTAAGTCGAAGCGGCCGGTGGTGGAGAATCCTTACCCTTCCAAGAAGCGCCATGACCCCTCTCACACGCGCGGTCCACAGCATCACGTTTCCTTGGTTCCCGACCACCGCCTGCGAGGGTGCTCTCCTGTGTCTCTCCTTTCATCCAGATATTGCGGTGTTGAACGGGGGGTTCAACTTCCCTGTCTATCAGCACACACTGGCTCCTTCAAGCGTGCAGCACCAGCGCAAGTTGCGTCTCAAAAAACTCTTCCCGTGTTATAGGGGGCCCGAAGAGCACACCGCGAATCCTTATACAGTATACCTCGAGCGGCGTCTGCCTCGTCCCAGCGCAGCAGCTCGCTCTCAGTCGAGCTTCAACACTCGTTCAGGCCCAATGCCTCTATCTATGCAGATAGTGAAGCCTCCAGTTCTGATGCGCTACTATGTAGCATGCCCGCCCCCCGTGCTCGCTGATGCCAAAAGCATTTTTTCAGGTCGCGTGAGAGTGCCTCCCAGCGTTTGACGGGTCCACCATCGGCGGTGCGCTTTCACGGAACCCCCCCCCGCCACCCGGGGGCGGGGTCGTTGCCATCCCCGCTCCCGGCATAGGCCTTGTCCGAAGTCGCATGTTCGCGTTCACCGGCCCCGGTCGCCCCCTTCCGATACCCCCCCCGCCCTCCAAGTCGCCGTCCCCCCCGTGGAGCTCCGGCGGGCCGCCGCCCCGGGTGTTGCGGACGGCTCGCGCCACCGGCGGGCGGAAGGTGGCGTGCAAGAGGCACACGGCGCACCCCAAGATGCCAGAGAACTGCAGCGAGAAGATGTAGCCCGTGACCGACAGGAGGAGCATCGACGCTAATTGGCGCAAACGGGGTGGGGGGCAGGGGGGGGGTGACGCATGGGCGAGACGGTCAATGACACGTCACTAGGGACACGTCGCGAGGGGTTAAATAGTGAAGGCCAGGGTTGAGTACATTAAATGTAAAGCATGTTGTCGAGCACACGCAGACAGGGCGTAGGAAGAAGCGACTTCATAGAAACATGCCGAGAGCCGATGGTGGTCAGGAGACCGCTGATTGGCGCACGACTCTACCGTACCGCAAGGGCAGGTCAGGGATGGGTAAGCAAAACATCTCGTAAGAGGTGTCGTTCTCGGCCTTTCCCTGGCTACATTTCACGAAAGAACAGCTGTCCGCCCTCGGTAGCGGCAAGCGCAAGTGCGATCTTGGCACCCGTTCAACACATGGTCCACGGAAGCCTAGGGTGTCGGTGCGGAACAACAACAGCATGGAATTAGGCATTGTTTTTGAACACACACACACACGTCCCGCAGGACACCGGTGCATGAATACATGTCTGCACCCGGAAGAGCATACGGGATTAGACTTGCCTTACACAACCCCTCAACCGAGCAAACATGAGACAATGCCGGCGCCGCACACACACATGCCAGGTCGCGACGGCGAAGACCCAGTGCGTCAAGCGAACCGCAACCATACTACCGTACTCAACTCAAACAAACGATGGAAATTTCTCTAGATTATCCCCCGGACCACCTGTTCAATGACACCGACTAACCAAGTACTTCGTAGGTGTTTGCGCATGTTTTCCATGTCTTTTTATCAGCGCTTACCCGGTTGGATCGGCGTGGCATGTAGATGAAAAATCAAACAAAGAGACGCGCGAACATACACACACCTACGGCGGCCGCAATGGTCTTTTCCCTCGTGCCCAGCGTCACGTCCAGCACCACAAGTTTCTTGCGACGGCTCATAAAAACGTACAGGAACATGCACAGTGACGCCAGCAGGGTCAGCAGGAGCCCCGGCGATCGCAGGATGTACACCGCCGCGATCGTGGCCCAGATCATCAGGTAGTTGGTCGCGAAGAAGGAAAGGTTCGCGTTCACTCTCTGCCAGAGAAAATAGCACACACACACACGTGTATGCAGGACGGGTTCGATAAGGGTGTGATAGAGCAGCCGCGAATGATCTCTTGCCGCGCGGCGACGGCCGAGGTAGGGTCTTGTCACCATCGCGAAATTCAAACTTCCTGCACAAAGGGGGCGAGGATACACCCGAAACTGGCATGCACTGTGCCACCAACGGCTCTTGACGGATAGCCTCAGACTCGGCGCCCCAGCCATCAACGACAGTAACAGTGGGCTAGCAAAATCTTCGGGGGGGGGGGGGGCGATCCCTGGGAACCCCGGGGGCAACTCCCGTTCATGTGTCAAAAAAATGACTATTACCCCCCGGGTTGCAAAGGGGACAAAAAACTTGCTATGCTGAAACTTTGGCCTGGGCGTAGTTACCCTAAAAACGGCAAAAAACCAAAAAACAACAAGGGGGCCAGGGAAATCAACAGTATGACCCCCCTTCTAGGACCAAACGTAATCTAAAAAACATGGGCTTTGTGTGGGAAAAAAAGGGAAAACAAACTAAACCCCATTGTACCTCCATTATGCTGGAAACTGGTTCCCCCCCCCGGGGGCAACTGCCGTAAAATAATTATCCCAATCTAGCCCGGGACTCGGGCATCAACATCTGAAAAAAAAAATTACATTTCCCAATGAAACCCTTGTTTCCCCCCGGGGGCAAAAAAAACGGAAATCCACCCCCCCACCACCAAGGGAAAAAAAAAAGAAAGCCCATGGGGCTTGTTTCCGTTTTTTTTTTCCCG